GCAGGGGACCCCCAGCTCCCCGCGGTTGCAGGCTCCGCCCCTGCCCAGGCCGGACGCCTCTGGCCGAGGCGTCCGGCCCGGGGAAGCGGGGACCCGCAGTGGCAGCGGGGGGCACCGCGATCACGCGGGTTCCGCCCCTGCCCCTGCATGACGCCTCTGGCTGAGGCGTCTGGCTCGGGCAGCGGGGACCCGCAGCTGCAGCGGCCCCGCGATCGTGGGCTCCGCTTTAGGCCCAGGCAAGGGACCCCTACCTCCCCGGACTGCCAGCTTTGACCGTGCCCAGCTCCCATCGCTGGCTCCACCCCTACTTCCTGCTATCACTGGCCAGGGCGGCAAAGGCACCTGATTCCCCGATCATGGCTGGGGGGCAGGGCAAAGGCAGCCCCAGGGCTGCCTTTGCCCTGCCCCCCACCTCTTAGCTCCCCCCTGGGTTTCCGATCACTGTCAGTGGCAGGGGGCTTCTTCCTGCTTTCCCTTTCGCCTCCCTGCATTGTGCCTACATATGCAAATTAGCCGCCATCTTTGTTGGCAGTTAACTGCCATCTCAGTTGGCAGTTAATTTGCATATAGCCTTGATTAGCCAATGAAAAGGGTAGCGCCATACGCCAATTACCATTTTTCTCTTTTATTAGTGTAGATGCTGAAAGGTATTTTTTAAGAAGAGGAAGAAGAAGAAAAGGTAAAGATAAAAATTATGAACAACAAAGTGACAACAAATACGTATCTATCAACAAGTGAATCTAAAAATCAAGTGAATAAAAAATCTGATGAACAGAATAAACTGGTGAATAGAATCGAATCAGGGGCATAGAAAGGGAATGGACTGACAATTCTCAGGGGGAAAGGGGTGTGGGGGTGTGGGAAGAGACTGGACAAAAATCGTACACCTATGGATGAGCTCACTGTGGGGGGTGGGTAAGGGCAGAGGGTGGGGTGGGAATGAGGTGGAGGGGAGCTATGGGGGGAAAAAAGAGGAACAACTGTAATAATCTGAACAATAAAGATTTAATTAAAAAAATAAAAACACCAATTCACATAGATCAATGTACTCCACACTCCCCTGCCACTGTTTCCTACTGGTGCTTGAATTCTTGTCTCAGTTAGCTTTTGGGGGAACCCAAACTAAAATTGGTCTATTCCCAGGACTGGCGTGTCTGGGCCACAGGGCATGAACATCTTTATGGTTCTTTTCATGGTTCAATTTAAACCAAACTCCTTCTCTTTCTGTTTTCATTTGCTGATCCCCAAAATCAGCATCTGGCGGCTCAGACAGCTGCTTCAGATCATTGGAAACACGTTCACACGTGTCCAGCCATGTCCTGCGTCCTTTCTTCATGTACACAGAGGCTGAGGAACTTTGGGAGTTGACATCATCAAGACATATTCTGTGCCCAGGAGCCTGCAATTTATCAGAATGTAAACAATGTGAAAATGGAATTTAGCCTGCAGATTGTGTTCCTTATCAAATGTCTCCAAGCACGTTCCACCGGCAGCACAAATTAAGCCTTTACCCAGAAGATACATTATCTCTGTGTGAGGCCTTCCACATAGTTTTCTAATGGAAGTCATTAGAAGTTTGGCTCTCACAGATAAGAGACCAATTCTGCCCATCCTGTGAGTCAGCAATGACATCGAATCCTGCCTTGGGCTCTGTCTGGCAGGGATACTCCGGAGGGCTTGCAAGGGCTTCTGGGAAATCAAAGGGGGACAAGAGTCAGCCCCAGGGACCTGGGTGACAAATGTTCATTGAGTCCTACTATGTACCAGCCATAGGATAGATAGAGAGTTTAAGAGACATGATTTCTTCCCCTCAAAAAATTCACAGAATAAGACAACTCAAATGTCTATCAATGGATGAATGGATGAACAAAATGTGGTTTACTCATATGATAGGATATTATCCAGTCATAAAAAGGAATGAAGCACTGACACAGGCTACAAGATCAGATGAACTTTGAAGACACTGTGCTAAAGTGAAAGAAGTGGGTCACAAAAAGGTCATCATCATATTGTATGATGATGCCACGTATATGAAATGTCTGGAATAGGCAAATCCAGAGACAGAAAGTAGACAAGTGGTTCTCTGATGCTTGGGGAAGGAGGAAATGGGGTGAAAATGCTAATATATTTCCTTTTGGTGGGATGAAAATGTTCTAACACAACCTCGTGAATATACTAAAAAACATCGACTTGCCTTAGCCAGGTGCTCAGTGGTTAGAGCATCATCCCACGGACTGAAGGGTCAAGGGTTCGATTCTAGTCAAGGGAACATAATTCTGTTGCAGGCTCAATCCTTATGTATGTGGGAAGCAACCAATTGGTGTGACTCTCTCACATCAATGTTTCTCTCTCTCTGTCTCTCCCCCTCCCTTCCAGTCTCTCTAAAAAAAAAATCAATGGAAAAAATATCCTTAAGTGAGGATTAATAAAAAAACAAAAAATATAAAACATTGACTTGTAAAGTTTAAATGGGTGAATTGTATGGCATGTGAATTATATCTCAGTAAAGCTTTTATTGAAAAAAGAGAAAAACATTCAGAGAAGAGAAGCATATTATTATATGAAGCAAGTTCTACAAAGTTCACAAACGAAGTGATATTTGAGCTGAATCTTGAAGGTGATCAGGGAAGGACTAGGAAGAAAGTGGCTCCTGGCAGAGGGGACAGCACAGGAGCACACAGTGTGAGGAAAGGTCTCCAGCAATCGATGAAGATAGAAAGAGCTGTGACTTTGAGCTTGTGGAGGATGGGGTGGAGGATATTTTTCCATTGATTTTTAGGGAGAGTGGAAAAGAGAGAAAAGACAGAGAGAAACATCGATGTGAGAGAAATACATCAATTGGTTGCTTCCCGCACGTGCCCCAACCACGGTCCAGACCAGGAAGGAGCCTACAACCGAGGTATGTGCCCCTGACCGGAATCAAACCCTTGACTAGAATTGAACCCGGGACCCTTTGGTCCGGAGGCCTACACTCTATCCACTGAGCCAAACCAGCTAGGACCATATATGTTTTTATGTAAATGCATTCCAGTGGTTCTCAACCTTCTGGCCCTTTAAAACAGCTCCTCATGTTGTGACCCCCCAACCATAAAATTATTTTCATTGCTACTTCATAACTGTAATTTTTCTACTGTTATGAATCATAATGTAAATATCTGATATGCAGGATGGTCTTAGACAACCCCTGTGAAAGGGTCGTTTGACCGCCAAAGGGGTCGTGACCCACAGGTTGAGAACCGCTGCATTAGACCATCAACAATGTCTCATACTTTGCTTTTAATATTAACAAAAATATTAGATATCCTTCCAAATTTGTATGCAATGAATTTGTTCATTTTTTAATGGGTATGTATGATGTACCACATTTTGATAGACCAATTTCCTATCAATGGACATTTAGGTTGTTTCCAATTTTAAAAAATCTGCAATAAATAATCTTATACATAATCTTATACATAGTACATTTCACATATGTATGAATTTATCTGTAGGTGAAATTCCTAGAAGTGGAATTGCTACATTATAGCGCTTGTGCTTTTTAATTTTGTTTTCAGAGTTCAACTTTCTATTGAACGCGTTACAAAAGAAGTTTAGTCCAAAAGACCAAGGCCTGTGTCATCATCAGACTCCAAAGATTCTTCTTTCTTTGCCTCCACTTTCTTCTCCTCAGCTGGGGCAGCAGTGGAGGGGGCAGGACCATTGGCTGGTACAGCACCAGCTACTGGGGCAGGTCTGCCAGCCCCTACATCCCAGATGAGGCTCTTGATGTTGACATTGGATAGAGTTTTGCAAACAAGCTGGACCAGAAGGGTTCAACTTTTACACCAGCTACTTTAATAAGGGCACTGATCTTATCCTCTGTGACCATCACCTCATCGTTTTGCAGGATGAGGTCTGAGCTGGTGTGGGTGGGCACTGGGTGAGTGCTGCCAGCCATGGTGCTAGTCGCTGGATGGAGTGAGGGCCTCACCCCAACTCGGCCTTAGCTTCATAGGAAGAACCCAGCATCTTACCAGCAGCTGGGGAGAGGGACTTAAATTTTGACAGGTATTATAACACTGCTCACAATAGAGGTTGTACCAATTTATTCTTCCATTGGCAATGGGTAAAAGAGCCTGGTTCCCCACCTTTTGGGGAATATGTTTGGAAATATTGTCAATTACCAGTTCATGGAGAGCCTTGAATACTAAGCAAAGAAGTTTGAACTTGATCCACAGACCATGGACACCCACCGGAGGGTTTAAACACTGGATGAGGATGAATAGGTTTGAAGTTTTTTGTTTTGTTTTTTTAATTATTATTTTCTAAATATATTTTATTGATTTTCCACAGAGAGGAAGGGAGAGGGACAGAGAGCCAGAAACATTGATGAGAGAGAAACATTGATCAGCTGCTTCCTGCACACCTTTTACTGGGGATGTGCCCGCAACCAAGGCACATGCCCCTAGCCAGAATTGAACCTGGGACCCTTCAGTCCACAGGCCAACGCTCCATCCACTGAGCCAAACCGGCCAGGGCAGGTTTGAAGTTTTTAAAGCTTATTTGCATGATAACATCAAATTAATGTTGTAGGAAATTTTTATTCTCTAACAGACAATGAGTGGTAATGTGATGAATCAGAGAGGGTGAGGGGGAATCTCCATTAGGATTTAAGCCATGCTGGAGAAAATGTGATTATCATTTAGGTACAGCAGCCATTCTAGATAATAAGATTGGATATGAGTGCAATCTGGTTTTTTTACAATCCCATAACTCTAACTTTCCTGCCATTTTTCTTTTATCACATCCTTCCCACATGCTGATGGCTTCTAATGAAGCATTTGGCCTTTAAGGGTGACGACATAAAACCAATAGCCAGGAATTTTTATCGGAAGCTAACAGTTGAGCAAACGACAAGAGGACAGGTGAGATAGCAGCTTTATCTTTCTCTAGAAGAACATTCTGCAAATTAATTATATTTAGAACTGGCATTAAACAAAGAGCTGGGGAAAACAAAGCAGCAGACACATTCATCCTGAGTCATTGTTTCTTAAACAGGAGGTGGTCGCTGTTATTTGATGCAAAGAGAAAAGGAAGATGGATGGCAGATGGCTGTGAAGGCAACAGCATATGAAGGACGGACAGCCAGCTCCATCCAGACTCTCCAGCTGGTTCAAGGATGAGCGCAGCAGGCTTGGTCCTCCTGGGGCTTGCTCTGAGGTTGATGGCCACTCCTGCTAAGCCAGAGGAGAGGAGCGTTTGCTCTAAGAACCAAGTGGCTTTCAGAGACTCTTGCTATGAATTTGTGCCTTTTGGCCGCTCCTTCTATGGTGCCCAGAACTGGTGTGAGGAGCGAGGAGGCCATTTGGTCTTTATTCACGACGAAGGCACCCAGCAGTTTCTGCAAAAGCACATGTCTCAGGACAGGGAATGGTGGATTGGACTCACAGGGAACTCGGCTCAGAATGGAACTACAGAAGGTAGGTGCTGTGATAACCATGTTTTATGGGAGCTAGTGGCTGCAATTCTCCCATTGCTTTCTACCCAGAGCTCCATAAAACAAATTAATATGCCCCATTCTCAGGGTAAGCAAACCCTCCTCTTTGGTTGTTTAGTGGATAAAATAATTCATGCACAGTATTTAGCACAGTGCCCGGCACAGAGCTGACACCAGAAATGTGCATTGTTTTGCATATGCCTCATATTCATAATATCTATGAATTCTTTGGTTCTTGTTAGAATAGTGTCCAGCACTATCCTGAGTGCGTCATGTCCATTATCATGTGAATCCTCACAATAACTGATAATATAATTATTATTGCTGTCTTTATTTTACAGGTGAGAAAACTGAGCCTTGGGAAATAATTACTAAGCTATTTTCAAAGCATTTCCACATGTCTTCCTCCCTATGAGACTGACGCAGGTCAAGTGCTTAGCGTGGTTCAGTTCACATGGGTTAGTCTCATGTTAATGGTTCTCCCAGGAACTCTCACTTAGCCTTTCTCTGGGAGGGCTCCTTCCTCCAACCCCAGCACAACCAGTTGAGTCCTTCTCTATGTACCTGTAGGACCCTTTTGACATGACTTTAGTTATTTAGGTGTCTTCCCCCATAGACAATAAGCTCTTTAAGGGAAGGAACCATATTCTGGCCAATCCCTCCCACCCCCAATGTCCATACATATCCAAGAATGGACACATAAACCTTTGTATTTAATCCTTACACCGGCCCCATGAGGTAGGCTTTGCTACTCTTATTTTATGGGTGAGGAAAATGAAGTCCAGAGAGAGGAACTGCCTTGCTCAAGAAAACACATCTAGGGAAGGGCAGTGAGGTATTGAGCCAGTGTCCCGCCATCTCAAACTGCTCTGTGGAAGATACTGGGTTTTAGAAAATAAAAACTTGGTCTGTGCTAAGTACCTAGAGAAATATACCAGAGTGGATGGAAATGCTTTAATAAAGGGGCAGATGGGAAGCTCATTTGAGGAAGGTCACAGCCAAAGAGATGCAATTTCTACAATGTGTCTTCAGCCAATATCTCTTGAATGGTTTTTTGCTTTGTAGATGCAGCAATTTGTGGATTTCCATTCGTATGCATTTAAAGGAGTCGGGTCTATTTAAAATATTCAGGGGATACTGCATGGCTTTACAGAAAATGAAGTAGATCTGAGTAGGCTGATATGTAACAGCTTTCAATAAGTAATGTTATTTGAGAGGCAAGAGACAGTGCTGTGAGCAATATGATGGCATTTTTGTAAATAGATTCAGGTACTCACGGGTGCTGCTACATAGATAAAACGCAACATGGAACAACACGCAAGAAACAACAATAATGGGAGTGGTCCATAGTTTGGAAGAGGGAAGATGCTTTCATTTCATTCTCTTTTTACTCTTTAAAAAATTTTAACCATTTGTATGGATTTCTTTTCTTTAAAAAATTAATAAATAGCCCAACCAGCATAGCTCAGTGGTTGAGCACTGGCCTATGAACCAGGACACTGGTTCGATTCTGGGTAAGGGCACATGTCCAGGTTGCAGACTCAATCCCCAGTAGGGGGTGTGCAGAAGGCAGTCGATCAATGATTCTCTCTCATTGATGTCTCTCTCTCTCTCTCTCTCCCTCCCTACCTCCCTTCCTCTCTGAAATAAAAAATATACATATTTTTTAAAATTAATAAATACATTTTTGAGTCTTTACAGCAAATATTTTCTATGTAGTGTTTTCTAGATCTCTAGTGTCCTTGAAATGCCTCTGTATCTCCCTCCCTCCGTCTCTCTCTGTCATGCGCTCTCTCTCTCTCTCTCTCTCTCTCACACACACACACACACACACACACACACACACACACACGTAACATCCTTGGGTTCAAGGCTCTGAAGAGTCCTGAAGTAAGGAAAACTGTTTCTGCAGTAGCTCAGCAGTGCCCATTTCTATTTGTCAAGGACCCCCTTTCTATGTGAAATACCTTTTAACTCCCTAGGGCACACACTGTGCTCTTCTTTAGGTTACGGTTAGATAGAGCTGAAAGCATCATTTATTTAGTCAAGCCAACTTCTACAGGCTCTCCAACTTGGGTTCCCGGTGTTTAGGTCGAGTTCTTGTGTTTGAGTGTTGGAAGATAATGGGTAGGAAATGCTCCATTGCTGGCACGGGAGAGGCCCTCAGCACTGATTGAGCACCTACTGCTCACAAGGAGCTGAGCTGGGACAAGCCTTGCACATAAAAAGGATCAGAAAAAGTCCTGGTGGTTGTGTTCCCTCCCAGGACCGGGGATCTGGCTGGACACCTCAAATGTGAACTATAGCCACTGGCACGGAGGGCAGGCCTCTTCTGCTCCCGACACCTGCGGTTACATCAGGAGAGACCCTTCTGCCAGGTGGGCTGCCTCAGACAACTGCGCACAGCTGTTCGCCTTCATCTGCGAGTTTGGTGAGCCTCTGTTGTAGAGTCTACTTCCTTTGCCCCATCTCTTCGTGTCTCTGTTTCCTTGTTTTCCTGTGTGTCTCTCTACTGCTATCTCTGTCTCTCTGAGTGTCTCTCTAAATGCCCACTTGTCTCTGTGTGATGCTCCATGTCTCTCTGTCTCTGTCTCTCTGTTTCTATCTCTGTTTCTCTCTAAATGCCCACCTACCTCTGTCTATGTGCTCAGTCTCTCTGTGTGTCCCTCCATCTCCCTAGCTCACATCCTTGCTCTCCCTGTCCATTTACCTGCCTATTAGTCTTGCTTGTCTCTCTCTGTCTTTTTTCCTCATATATCTGCCCACTCACCCTTAACTCCTGCTCCCTGGCCAGCCTAAGTCTGAGCCCCCCATGCCCACATCCCACCAGCTCCCAACTGTTCTTCTCTTGTGCCCTTTCTAGCTGCTACCCATGCCCGACTCCCAATGTAGATGCTGGGGACTGTGTATAAGAGACCCTGCCGGAGTGGGATGTAGCCATATACCAGGTCCTACCCACCGGGGGGGGGGGGGGGGGCTGGGATTGGGGCCTGGCCTTAGAGCTGAGCCTCCTGGTCCCCTGACCCACAAGCCAGGCTTGATGGAACCTTCTGGGCTTTCTGGGTCCAGTCCCCTCCCTGGCTCTAAGCTCCTGGTTCCCAGGCCCTGTCCTGGGTTGAACATTCACAGGAGCTCCTGCTCCATTCTTCTCCCCTAGCTTTAAATAGATGCACTTTGCCCTGCCTGACTACTTCTGAAAAGGTGGAAGCGCCTGTGAAGCCCTCCCTGGTCTGTGCATTATGCAACTTCCCTCTTTCTATCACAGCCTCCCCAAGTCCCTGTCCCCTCCACCACCCCAACTTCAAGCCTGTCTCTCAGACTCTGTCACTCCCAGGGCCTTGGAGCCGTGCATGAGGTCACACTATGAAGAACTAATGAGTATCGAGCAAAAGTTCCAGCACTGAGCCAGACACTCCATGTACATTTATTCACCATAATAGAAGTCTGTCCACCATTCTATTGTAGGCCTATTAGAAAGCTAAAAAAAGTGAGACTCAGAAAGGATAAGTTCCTTGTCCAAGGCCAGAGAGCTGGGAAGTGACAGAGATGAGACCTAAAGCAGTTTTGCCTATGGAGAGAGAAAGAGAGAGAGAGAGAGAGGGAGAAGGAGAGGGAGAGGGAGAGGGAGAGGGAGAGGGGGAGAGAGAGAGAGAGAGAGAGAGAGAGAGAGAGAGAGAGAGAGACTGGCTTTGGAGATGGAAGAGGGGGCCACAATCCAAGGAATGCTGACAGCCTGTATAAGCTGGACAAGGCAGGAAACAGATTCTCCCCTAGAGCCTTCAGAAAGAACCTTGATATCAGTGTAGTGATACCCATTTGTGGACTTCTGACCTTCATAACTATAATATTATAAATTTGTGACAATTTGTTACAGCAGCCATAAGAAAATGAACACAGATTTGGTCTCTCCTACTCTGTGGACTTCCCACCAGGCAAACAGGCCTGAGTGTGAATTCAGCATTTCCCACTTTCTGGCTGTGCACACCTGAGCCGTCATTCTTTTGCAACAAATGTTTACTGAGCAGGTGCCAGGAAGCAGGGTTTGTGTGGGGCTCTGGCACAGTGACCCCACTGAGCCCCATGTTCCTAATGGGGAGAATAATAGCTCAGCTCATAGGATTGGTATAAAGACTCATTGAAATCACTCATTCATTCAACAAAAGCTTGTTTGGCATCTATCATGTACCGGACATTGTTTTCAAATAAGGCTCAAGGAAGGTACTTGAAATAGGTAGAATAGTAATTGCTACTTGAATAGCCCATATTCTGAGTGTACAAACTCATTTAACCCTCCTAATGACCATATGGAGTATGGGGTAGAGTCCCCCCTATACAAAGGAGGCACAGAGAAGCTAAGTAATTTGCAGAGGTCACACAGCCACTGGGTGGCTAGGCTGGATCTGCCCTTGGGCAGTCTGGCTCCAGAGTTACTCTCACCCATGCTGAGTCTGCTTCTGCTGTATCCTTGCATCTCACAGTCCTGACCCCTGAGACTCTTCCACTTCCCATCAACGAGGCCAGTGGTCGGCAAACTCATTAGTCAACAGAGCCAAATATCAACAGTACAACAATTGAAATTTCTTTTGAGAGCCAAATTTTTTTAAATTTAAACTATATAGGTAGGTATATTGTTATTAATAATTAGGGTACTCCTAAGCTGGCCTTTGCTAGAAACGTCCTCATTCTGAGGGGTTGACCACAGCGAACGTACCCCCACTTCTTCTAACACCACTTCTTCAAAATAGACTCGCCCAGGGCAAAAACCGACTTCTGCGCATGGGCCACAAAGTTTCAATCGCACTGTATGTGCACGTCCACATGTGGTATTTTGCGGAAGAGCCACACTCAAGGGGCTAAAGAGCCGCATGTGGCTCGCGAGCCGCGGTTTGCCGACCACTGAACCAGGCACTTGCCCACCCATGACCATAGGCCTCCTATGTATCACCTTACCTTTGTACAGGTGTCGGCCAGAGTCTGGCCTGCGAGGGCCATGATGCCACCATGCACTGTGGTTCCTGGGAGGTCATTCAGATCCGGGATGCTTTCTACGGGCGCCAGACTCCCCATTATTGCACCCAGGACACTGGGAGCCCCTTGGACCTGGAGGAGCAATGCAGCTGGGTCAGCGTCAAGGATGAAGTGGCAGGTAGGGCCCAAGGGCTCCACAGCTCTGGCTGTGAGCTCAGGGCAGTTCCTGGTGTCCTGTGCCCAGCAACAGGTTCTGGAAGGCTCCACTAATCCTCACATATGACCTTGAGCCTCCAACATTGGGAAAACTAGCCAGTCTCCGCCACAGCACTGAGTTGGGAAGCAAGGGAGTTACAGCTCACTCCTTCACTTTTGCTCCCCACCCAACTTGGATGCAAGAAACATCACTTTCTTTTTTTAACTTAAAAAAAAATTAAATACTTGAAATACATAGACAAGAATAAAAAATACTTCAATGAACTCCCATAGACCCACTACCCAACATTGTCAAATCATATTTGCTTAAAATTCCCTCATGAAGGAATCAAACACAGCATTGGATATACAGCCAACACTCCTGTGAAGCCCTTCCTGGTCTGCTCCTGTCATAAAGTCAGCGCTTGTTAATTGCATGGGTGGTTTTGTATTGCTGCCTTCTATGTATGCAACCCTAAGCAATATATAGTATTGCTTTGCAGGTTTTTAGTGTTTATAAAAATTGTATCATATTGTATGTCATTCTGCAATGTGCTTTTTTTCTCTTTTCCTTCTTTATTTTATTTTTTGCTCAAAGTATTATCCATCTTGATACATGCAGTGTTAGCTTATCTGTTTCATCTATTGTATGTGCCAGAATTTGTCTCTTCCTCTGTTAAGAGTGTATGGGTTGGGTCTTAATCCTTGGTATTGTGAATAATGCTAAACAAATGTTTCTGGTGGCATCTCTTGTTCACATGGGAGAATTTCTCTAGGACCTGTTTTTCAAAATTAGATTAAATCTGCCTCTGAGCTGCCTTTGCCCCCTGGGAATGATTCGCTTTAGGCCATTTGACTAGATCCACTGGACCAGTGGTTCTCAAAGTGGGGTTCCTGGGCCAGCAGTGTTAACATTACCTGGGAGCTTGTTAGAAGGAAATTCTCAAGCTGCCCTCCACATTGAGACACAAGCCCTCCAGGGAATTCCAGCACAATCCACAGTTTGAGAACCACTGGGAGGGACTCTGAACTACTTGGGGATAGGAACCCTACTTCTCTCTCCCCCAGTACCTAGCACAGTGCCTGGTCTCCAGTAGACACCAACTGGTATTTGTTGGGCGGATGGTGGGTAAATGAATGAACGTGAGGTTATTCATCTGTGTGAACCTATCCCTTTATGTCCTTCACGCCATTTCTGCTTCTGCTGGGATTCGGGTGCTTCCCAGAACAGTGCCAGGGGCTGCAGGCATGCCAGGTGGCAGCAAATGGGACCTTCTCTGGAGACCTGTGCCCCACCAAGGGCAGCTACCTCTGGGTACAGTACCAGTTTCGGGAAGGTGAGTCCCCAGCTTGCCTTGGCGTGGGAATTCCCTTCTTATTTTCACAACAGGCTCAGCAGAGAGAGCAGCTACCCTGGGGATTAATCTACTGTGTACTAAGAGGAACTGATAAGCCAGAAATGTGTGTGTGTGTATATATATATCATCTCTCAAAGTCACTAGCTTATTTTTTTAATAACTGCATAATATCCCAGTATAAGATTATGTCAAAATGTATTTAATCAGTTCCCCTGCCTGTTGATAAACATTTAAGTTGCTTCGGTCTTTTGTTGTTACATATCACTCTGCAGTGCTTTCTTGTACATTCTCGTGCATATATCTTGACATGTACCTGAGATTATTTTTAAAGGAGCGATCCCTAATAGTGGAAATGCTGGGTCACAGGGTCTGCATTTTATTTTATTTTAAATTTACCTTTCTTGTTAAAAGTATTACAGAAGACCCCCCTTATACCCCCCCCCATTGACCCCCTCTACCCTTCTACCCGCTCCCCAGGCCTTCACCACACTATTGTCTGTGTCCATGGGGAGTCTGTGCACTTTAAATGTTAATAGGTACTGCCCAATTACCCTTCAAAATCGCTGTATCGATTTATATTTCCACTAACAGTGCATGAGGGCGCCAGTGTCTCCTACGGCTGTGAAACCACATTATGCCGTTTTCCAACACATTAATCGGTCAGAACAGCTACTCCTATTGAGGGCGTGTGTAATGATGCAAGGAGCTCTGAAGGGGAAAGATAAGTCAGTGAATGTTGGGATTCCCAGGGGCCATCCAGGAGAGCAGGGTCAGTGGGTACAGGAAAAGGGAGGACCACATGGAGGAGAGGGTACAGAAATGGGAGGGTGGCATGGAAGATACATTCTACCAGGGACAGTAGTCTGCTGAGCACGCTTGGGTAGAAAAACAGTGAGCAAGGTGTTGCAATTCTATTTTCTTGGAAGAGGAGGCCACATGTTTTGAAACATGTTCCATTTGGTGGTTTTGCTAATGGATAGAGTACCTTTTGTTCTGCCAGGCCCGGTGCTGCTGTCATTGGACAAATGTGTAGTTCAGAGCAAGGGACAAGCTGGATTTAGCAACTACATGGTCCAGATTTTCTGCCCCAACTTTGTTTCAAACATCCTGTCCCCTTGTGAATCAGTGTGTTCTGATCACAATCAGGTTCTGATTTGTGAAAGGGGGAACTTTATTCAGACATCCCACCCCGACTGTGCCCAGAAGGGCCTGGTTGCATGTGACTTTCCTCAGGTAGCTGAGAATCTGACCTCCTGAAAGTCCCTTTTATTTGCAGTCAGCCTCTTTCCTCTTCCCATTTGTGCTCAGAAACAAAGATTATGCTGCACAAATTAGCCCAGAGCTGTGTGAAGACCCAGAAAATTCTGCCCTTCACCCCATCCTCCATGCCAACTTTTGAAGCTCAAGGTTTTGTAAAATTTAATGTGCATTAAATGGCTTACAATGAATCATCGGCCACCTTAGCCAAATAGATTTTCTTAAAGGTGCTTAGCCTTTTGTCTTTTTAAACATTATAAAATGCATTTGGACAATCAATAGAATCCTGGCAAATAAATTATGGTACATCATGTAGTTATTAAAAAGAACAGGGCAGCTCTAACTGAATTTATATAGAATAATCTCCAAGATATACTATGTGAAAAAAATGGAAGGTGTCAATTAATGAATATAGTATGCACCATTTGTATAAATAGAAAAGTACATATGGGTTGTGGGTATCTCTAGAAGGTGAAACGGGATATTGATAACAGTGGTTGTCTCTGGAAAGCAGAACGGGGGGAGGGGGGGACCGAGGTTTGGCAGTGGGAGGGGGTTGTACATTTCAAATTATTGGTCATATATTACCTATGAACAAAAAATAAAATTCAAAAGAACTTTAAAAGTAAAACTAAAATTTTGAAAACTTTAAAAGTCCCACCTAAAGATGCAGGACAGGTGGATAGAAGGGAGTCAGTTTTTAACATGCAGTTTTGCTCTGCAAATGGCACATGGCCCTCTGTGTTTTCACCTGCAGGCCTGCAGCTGACGGTGTCCAATGAGAGTTTCGTCTTCGATAATGTCACCATCTCCCTGATGTGGCTCCTCTCTCCCTACACTGGAAACCTGTCCTGTATCATTATCACGGGGGATGGCCACACTTTTGATCCCTACTACCCCCCCAGGTAAGAGGAATCTCTGAGCCTTGATTCAGGACGTTATCAAGTCAATTTTTGCTGCATAACAAAACATCCCAAAACTTATAATAGTATTTATTATTTGGCATGTGTCCAGTGGTCAGCTTATCGTCAGCGAGGAGCATGTGTTGCTCATCACCCAATAGGCCAGCTCAGGCTCACTCGAGTGGTGGCAGAAGAGTTTCTAGCAGCAAGTGAGAGCAAGGCCCAATGTGCGGGCATATTTCAAATATACTTGGGTCACATTTTTTAATGACCCATTGGCCAAAGCGAGTTTCATGGCCACGCCCAGATTCAACAGGTAGAGAAACAGACTATACCTGTTGATGGAAGAAATAGCAGAGCCATAGCACAAAGGGGCATGCATATGAGAATGGGAGAATGGATGCTCATCTGTTTTTCATTATGGAAGCCACACAAACGGGCATGGAGAGCTGGTCCTTTTGGCTTGGCGCTGTGTAGTCTCTCCAGGGTCACTGTCTGAGGAGTCGGTAATGGGGTAAAGAAGATGCTCACCTGGGAGTGCTTTTCATTGGTAAGGATTATAAAAGTAATAGTAACAATATTCATAATAGTCCAGCCGGGCAGCTTCACACATAATCTCACTAGAGCTGTGCTGTCTAATGTAACAGCCACTCACCATGTGAGCTACTGAGCACATGACATGTGGCTGTTCTCAGTTAAGATGGGCTGTAAATGTAAAGTACACGTGGGATTTTCAAGACTGAGTTCCCCCATCTGCCCAAAATGAATGTAAATATCTCACTAACAATTTTTTTCTCACTAATCATTTTTATATTGATTACACATTGAAATGATAGTACTTTGGATGTATTGGGTTAAAGAAAATAAATTGAAATTAACTTCACCTGTTTCTTACTTTTTTCAGTGTGGCTATTAAAAAATTTTAAGGAGAAACTAAGATGGCGGCATAGATAAACACCGGGAAATTTCTGCTTCCCACAACAATCGATAAATGCATCAAAAACACAAGGTGGACATCATCCAGAACTACAGGAGGGCTGGCTGAGTGTAAATTCTACAACTAGAAGGAAAGAAAAGCACACTGCGAGCAGGAGGAGCTGCGGAGGTGGCGTGCAGAGGTACGGGGGCTCGCGCGCGCGGAAAGGGTCTGGCACCTGAGGACACGGCTGTCTTTTTGAATCCAGAGGGAGACACAAGCTCCCGACGCCTCTGAAATCCGGTTCCGGGAAGTCTCTGGGGACCCAGGGCTCATACGGGGAGATACTGGACTGTCTGGCAGCGGGCGAGCTTGAGAGCGGCTTTCCCTCAGAGGTGCTTGCAGCCATTGCCGGGACACTGGGACTCGCGACTCCTTAGGGCAGGGCTGAGGCTCCGCCATACCTGCTTTCTCAGCCCTTTGATTCCTTGAGACCCCGCCCCGCCCAGGCTTCGGCAGAGGCTTTTGCATATGAATGCCCCGGCCATTTGCAACCTGTAATTACCTAACCGCAGCCGGGCCAGATAGACTCAGAGCTTCCAAGAGAAGGCCCAGGCCCCACAGCGGCTTGCATTGCTACACAGCTGAGCATCATCAGGGCAGCTGATTCTCGCTGCCAATTGCCCTGGAGGTCAATTCCTCCCAGTGATCCTACAACAACCAAGGCATAGCTACAACAAGACTGTGCACAAAGCCCACGAGGGGGTGCACCAAGAGTGTCCACCTCAGGTAACTGGGGAGGCTGAGCCACTGGGCCCTACAGGACACCTAGCACACAAAGCCACTCTATCAACACAGGGAAGCAGCCAAAATGCGGAGACAAAGAAACAGGTCACAAATGGCAGAAATGGAGGAAAGCAAACGACTGGATATAGAGTTCAAGGCCACGTTTATAAGGTTTTTCAAGAATTTTATGGAAACCGCCGATAAACTTAATGAGTCCCTCAATAAGTATAGTGAGACCATGGAGGACATGAAAAAGGACCAACTAGAAATTAAGCATACACTGACTGAAATAAAGAATAATTTACAGAGATCCAACAGCAGACAAGAGAATCCCAAAAATCAAGTCAAAGATATGAAATACAAAGAAACAAAAAATACCCAACCGAAAAAGAAAAAAGAAAAGAGATTCCAAAAATATGAAGATAGTGTAAGGAGCCTCTGGGACAACTTCAAGCGTACCAACATCAGAATTATAGAAATACCAGAAGAAGAGAGAGGGCAAGATATTGAAAACCTATTTGAAGAAATAATGACAGAAAACTTCCCCCACCTGGTGAAAGAAATAGACTTACAAGTCCAGGAAGTGCAGAGAACCCCAAACAAAAGGAATCCAAAGAGGACCACACCAAGACACATCATAATTAAAATGCCAAGAGCAAAAGACAAAGAGAGAATCTTAAAAGCAGCAAGAGAAAGACAGTCAGTTACCTACAAGGGAGTACCCATACGACTGTCAGCTGATTTCTCAACAGAAACCATGCAGGCCAGAAGGGAGTGGCAAGAAATATTCAAAGTGATGAATAGCATGAACCTGCAACCAAGATTACTTTATCCAGCAAAGCTATCATTCAGAATAGAAGGTCAGAGAAAGACCTTCACGGATAAGAAAAAGCTAAAGGAGTTCATCACCACCAAACCAGCATTATATGAAATGCTGAAAGGTATTCTTTAAGAAGAGGAAGAAGAAAAAGGAACTCTTACCATTTGCCACAGCGTGGATGGAACTGGAGAGCGGATAAATACCACATGATCTCACTCATTTGTGGAATATAATGAACAACATAAACTGATGAACAAGGACTGATCCAGAGACGGAGAGGCATTGATTGGACTGTCGGGCTTTGGAGGGAGGGTAGGGAAGTGTGGGGGTAAGGGGGAAAGATCAACCAAAGGACTTACATGCAGACATATAGGCCTAACCAATGGACACGGACAACAGGGCGGGGGGTGGGGGGTGAGGGCATGAGCGGGGGGGGGTGGGTAGAGGGTAACGTGGGGACAAGGACACATATGTAATATCTTAATCAATAAAAATATATTAAAAAAAATTTAAATTACACATGTGGCTCCTACTATCTGTATTGGATGGTGCTGAGCTAGATAATCATTATCATGTTTTCACAAAGGTACAGTGTTGTTGCCCAAGCCACACAACGCTGTGATGCAGTCAGGACTGTCTAGCCTTGAAAGGAGCTCAGGCTCTGAGGTCCCTGGTGGATTATACAGCGCATTGTATCTGGGCCTGAGAGCACTGCCCCCCCCCCCCACCTTCCCCCTGCTCCCACACACACATCCTCCAGGAAACAGTTACCTCCCCAACCTGAGAGTAGCTAAACCCAACTCATAGTATTTCAAAGTCCTACCTGGGCCTGGGTAAGCTCCGATGGCCCAGCAGGAGGGTGCCCCAGACTGTTTCAGAAAATCTAGGTCCTCTTTGGATCCTGAGGCTCCTTATAGGGACCCCCAGTTCAACATGGATTCCCTGGGAAAGCATAGAGGCCCAAAAGCTTCTCTTTGAATCCCCAAATACCTCCAGTTCTTCCCTGTGGGAGCTAGAGGTTCTGGTCCTGTGGGTGCCAGCATTCCCAATAGCACTGGTTGCAGTGAGGCAAATAGGGGGCCAGCCCTGTCCACAGCCCAAAGCTGCTCCAGTGAGTGCAGGTCTCAAATTCAGCAGTGCTTTGAGGTCTCAGGCATTGTGCCAAACACACTGTGTCTGAGGCTGGGGTTCTAATCCAGGCACTGCTAATGTGTCAGACCCAGAAACAATCCCTGGCCTTGGGTTTCTGTTTCCTTCACTGTCATATATATATATATATATATATATATATATATATATATATATATATATATATACACTAGAGGCCCAGTGCATGAAATTCGTGCATAGGTAGGGTCCCTAGGCCTGGATGGTGATCAGGGCCAATCAGGGCCTTCTGGCTGCTGGCCGAGTCGAGGCCTTCCTTCCCTGGCTGCTGGCTGCCAGCTGGGGCCTTCCTTCATTCTCCGCCACCCCCTGGTGGTCAGCGCATGTCATAGTGAGTGATTGAACTCCCTAGGGGATACTTTGCATATTAGCCTTTTATATATATAGATGTCTATATATATAAAAAGCCAAAGACTGGAATGCCAAAACAATCAGAATGACTGGAACAACTGGCTGCTATGACACCTACTGTGGCTGGCCAACCTCCTGTAGCCCCTCTCCCTGGCTGGCCCTCTCCCCGATCGGCTCCACCCACCCCAATCGGGGGTGTGGCCAATCGGCCAACATCCTGCATCCCCTCCCTCCTCCCCCCCGCCAGCCCGGCCCCCATCGGGCCAGCTGGACCCCCCAACCGGGCAGGAATTCGTGCACTGGACCTCCAGTGTATATATATGACAGAAAAAGGAACAAATCAAGATAACAATAAAAATGGGTGGTATAAAAAGAACACAGGTTGTAAAACCAGAAAAATCTGAATTTGAATTCCTGTTTCATTGCATACCCACTGTATAACTGTCCATTCACACTCCCTCTTACAATATCTATTTCCAAACCCATATAAAACTGTTTGGGCTATCCACAAGATAAATAAGGGTGCATGAAGTTAAATAGCTCCAAATCCCATAGTAGTATCAGAGCCAGGAGGGGGATTAGATTGGTTTTACTATAAAGTCTATGCTCTTTCAATTACTCTAAAGCTACAATGACTAAAGCAGCAAAAAAGGAAATGTTTACATGAAAAACACACAAATCTAAGTGGACCCTACAGATCACCTGGACACTATTCAAAGTGTCCAGGTATTTATCTTTTGTTTCACTCTCTAAACATTTATTGGACAACTACTATAATCCAAACATTGTGTCAAATAGTAACAGGTGACTGTCTATGGTGACATCCCAGGACTGTCTGGCCTTGAACGGAGCTCAGCTACATGAAAGAAAGGAAGGAATCCAGGATCAGTTTTGTTTTGTTTTGTTTTAAGGGTGGTCACAGAAATAGCACATAAAAAGGAATGCCCACTTTGAGATTAGAGGTGATGGCACTGGAAATGAAGACTTCAATAAAGAAAGGTTGTGTCACATTTATATTGATGGCTGCCTTGATTGGAGTAAAATGAGAAATTACACGTGAAGATGCTTAGGGAAAAAATGTTTAATACAAATATCATGGTATTTTCTGTAGGTTTCTTTCCATTTGCTCCCATTTCATCAATAAAACAACAAATGCCAAGTTAAATAATCCTAACCCCCACATTTTATAGAACTTGAATTTGGCATAAGTCAAAATGCACTGTCTGTAGCCCTGCTAAGTCTTTCAGTTACATAAGGACCTTCTAGCAATAAACAAACAGTAGTTAAAAACTGGAGCAAATGGAACAAAATGCAAATATCTGTCAACTCTGGATGGTGAGTCCAAGGGTGTTTGGATTCTGGATTCTGCGTGTGATTAAATTTTTCATAATCTAAGTCAAACAACAATAAGTGATGCTTTACATTTGCAATTCCTTGGGCATTTGCTCTAAGTGAAAGCGACTGTAATTTTTTTTCTCTTTCAAAAGAAATAGATGGTGATATCCTCTGCCATCACCCAACCTGAACACTCAAATTTCCTCTTCTTTAAAGACTTGTTAGACCTTGAAACTACTCACCCACCTTCTTCTATTATTTTTATTAAGATTGGGAAATATATTTCTGGTGCTTTCTAATCAGTCTTAGCAGTCTCAGAACTCAATTTACAATGAAAAATAGCATGAATTTTAAGTCGAATATTTTGTGCAGACGTGACTGTGTTTTTCTTTTATTGTGTTCATACAGACTCCTACTTCTGCTTAAAAACGGAGGCTCCATTTCCATCGTAGAGAAATAACATGAGCTAATGGGGAGAATCCAGCCTCCATTAGGAAAGGCATAATGAAAGTCAAACAATATCTCCTTGAGAAGTTCTTTCTCGCCTTGCACTCCCCATGTCTTGTGCACATTTGCATGGCAGGCTGTTTTGTTTCTCTGTTATGGAAAACTTTCTACATTTCTGAAATCATGGAACAATTGGCATAAGGTGAAATTTGTCCAAGTCTAGCATTAGGTAACTTAGCGCCACCTACTGACAGATCTAGGGATTGCTGCTATTCAGAGCCACACAGCCAAGTCTGGAGGGGGACGTCCCTGGAAATGGATCATTCACAAGCCAGGATAAGCCTTAGAGTGACTGAGATGTACACAGGCTGTTGGGAGGCGCAGAAGAGAGAACTCTGTGAAAGCCAGGTCAGAAAGGACTGTAGAGCCAAAGTCCTTGGTGGGGGACCAGAAATAGGAGGCAGGAGCAGAGAATGTAGAGCAAGGGAAGTCATGGATGTGGAGGGTAACTGTGAGCACCTCACTATACTGGGAGTTCAGGGGTATGTGGGGAAAATGAAAGACGGAAAACGCAAAGGGGAAAGGTGATGAAGAGCCTTGATACCTGCCAGTATAAAGACATTGTTTTTAGGAGCGTGTGCAGGTTAAGCACCAGGACACAGGCTCTGATTTGGGGTGCAGGTTTCCTGGGGGATACTAAGATGGGGCAGGGGGAGATGCAGTAGCAGCACAGGCCCCCCTGACAACTGTGCAGCCATTGGATTCAGGATGTCCCTGGGGAAGGGATGTCACCTGGGAACAGATGGCTCTCTTCGGCTAATAATTCCTGGAGGTGGTTCAGCTGTGAGCCCTCAGCTGCTATCACGCCAGGATGCTGGGCAGGAGTGGTGGGGTGCAGGCCTCGGTCTTGAAGGGTGGAATCTGGGTGACACGCCACCACATCCACTACAAAGGATACACAGGAATCTTTAGGCCATGGAGTTACAAGCTCTGTGATTATTAGTACTGCCAGTATCAACTAATATCCACTGGGTAACTTTAAGGAGTAAATGGGACTACAGAGAATAACTGCTACAGAGTTGATTCTAAAGATTAGGTAATTGTTACTATTATATTAATATTACATGAAAGTATGTATTAATTTTATTTAATAGGCTAAGTGCATAAATGTCATCCTATTATACAAAAAGCTACAATATATGAGACTGTTACATGCCAGATACTTATTCAGCCATGGCCTCATTTGAACTTTACAGCTCAGCCAGGAATAGCTCTCACCTCATTTTATGGACAAGGGCACTGAGGCTCAGAGAGGTTAACTGAGTCATTAGGTTTTACAGGTAATCCTAGGAGCTCTAGGAGATCTCATTTCCAGTTTCCTACCCTTTCCGTTCTGTCACAATGCCCGATCTGGTCAGATGGCCTCATCCACCAAGCTGGCTGGCAATCTGTGAGCAACATAAATAAAATGACACAAATTATGGTGTTCTTAACAATTGGACATTATAAGCAAAGATAAAAAATGTGAGCTTTCTTCTCCACTTTCTTTTTAAGCTGCATCCCATCAACATCAACCATCAAAGCAGTATATACAAATCAGTGGATGTTAGAGTCTTGAACCAATTTTTAAACATTTTTATTTAAGCATAATACATGTACAGGAAAGTGCCCCAAAAGATACGGAACAATTAATTTTTATACAATGAACCAGCACCTAGATCAAGAAATAAAACATGGCCAGTCTCCCAGAAATCCCTCCTCCACCCCATAACCCTCCAAGAATTCTAACATCATCAAATAGTGTGACCTGTATTTGAAACTTATATAAATGGAATCTGATAAAGGACTGTTTATTCTCTTTTTTGTCTGACTTCAGTTCAGTAGTATGTTTTTGAGATTCATCCTTACTGTTGTGTATAATTAGGATTTCTTTTTTATTATCTACTTATATAAAAACCCTGGGTGTAACATAATGGCCAGAACTTTGACCAACTGGAAGGAAGTCAATCCTGCAGGGGTTGTCTTGGAAACGGCTGCACCCTCCTCCCGAGCTGTTTCCCAGAGCTATTTCCTGTAAGGGTGGGGTTTGAGGCAGGAACCCGCCCTTCGAGTGTGGAGGCATATCTTTATAAAGTGTGCCGTGCCAGCACAGCCAAGGGTGAACCTGAGTGGGGGCGGCTGAAAGGCTCAGAAAAAACAGACAAGAGAATGAAATCTGGGTCTCAGTGGGATGCTGCTTCTCTGAGAGGTAGCGACCACGCCCACAGCCCTGTCTTTATTTTATAGCAGATGCCACGAGGCAAAGTAAGGGCATGACCAAGATGTTTACAACATTCTCCTGGGTTTCAATCCTACTCAACTACATGCACCTGAACTCTATCAAGCCTACATCACTCAGGCACGTGGGGCCATGTGTTTGGACCATAGATTCAAGCTTACAACTATAGCTGTTGGCTATAATTGTGCTGGGAGGGTCCTGCCCTCCAAGCTGGGACTTGCACGTGGCAATGAGAGGACTGTGCCCTCTCATCAGTCCAAGGCTTGAACCTGTCCAAAACACTGTAGCGGCTCCCCAGAATAAAGTTTTAATACATTATATTAGAGGTTGTGGTGGTACTGTTTTACCCACAGTGTCTACAGGAATTGCTGCAAATTTACTTCTCGGTGGAAGAACCATTCATTCCCAATATAAATGACCAATTCAAGCACTCTGAAAGTGTTTTCACTCTTAATGTGGGTGTATAGGGAGATATTAGAATAAGTTTAATCAATTTATCAGTCACTGTTTGCATCACTGTTGTTTTATATAATGTTTTTGTTGTTTTCATATCATGCTTTTATTGTTTTCATATCATGTTTTTGTCATTTTTATATCATGCCTCTGTTGTTGTTATATCCTTTTGTTACTGTTTATTTATTAATAAATTTATATTCTTTTCATATACATTTTACTAATTTCCTTTCATTTCTCACACTCCTATTAGAGAGAAAGGGCAAATAGCAATATTAAAATATCTCCACTAATTAATTCCCTTTTAAAAAAATACATATTTTATTGATTTTTTACAGAGAGGAAGGGAGAGGGATAGAGAGTTAGAAACATCGATGAGAGAGAAACCTCGATCAGCTACCTACTGCACACTCCCCACTGGGGATGTGCCTGCAACCAAGGTACATGCCCTTGACCAGAATTGAACCCGAGATCCTTGAGTCCGCAGGCCGATGCTCTATCCACTGAGCCAAACCGGTTAGGGCAATTAATTCCCTTTTAATGTGCACAAATTTCGTGCGCCGGGCTACTAGTTGTTGTATAGCATCTCATTGTGTGAATATATCTCAATTTATCTGTCCATTTTAGCACTGGTAGGCATTTTGAGTGATTTTCCACTTAGAGTATTATAAATTGTGCAGTCATGAACATTTTAGTGCTTGTCTTTGGTGCACATCATACACATTTCTGTTGGGTTTATATCTAAGAGTGGAATTGCACAAATCCATAGGATTATAACACAAAGTTTTGAGTTGTTGTCTCCCTCTCTTTGTATTCCAAGCATATCTTCCATATGCTGGCAGCAGTTTCTAAAACCACTTTTAGGGTTCTCCTTTAGTGAGATCAGTGGGAGAGAAATCAGAAAAAAAAAATCAATTTCTCTGCTTTTCAGTGCTAGACAGTTTCAGTTGGTACCAGAGTTTAAAAAACTTAACAAATTGCTTTTTCCAGACAGATCACTGAAAAACTGGCTGGATTTTGCTATCCAAAACCATCCTTCACATATCCACAAAGAGTTAGCATTTTCTTGTTCTAAAATCTACATTATCTGATATTAACAACGGTCACTGCAGCATTCTTCTGATTAGTGTCGGCTGGTAGATCTTTCTTCCATCCTTTTATTTTTTTTTAACCTATCTATATCATTATATTTATAGTGGGTTTCTTGTAGACAGTATATGGCTGAATCTTGGTTTTTTTACTATCCCATACGGAATGTTAAGAGCATTTACAATTAATGTAATTATTGATTTAGTTGAATTTAGATCTATTATTTTGGTATTTGTTTTCTGTTTTCCCTCTGTTTAATCCCCGCCCCTGGTTCCTCTCCTTTCTTGACTTCTTTTTGATTACTCAATATTTTTAGTATTCCATTTTAGCTTAACTACTGGTTGTGTGCTTTTGTTTTGTTTTCTGTTATATCTCTTTGTATTACTTTTTTTAGTAGATACTTTGGGAATTTCTGGATACATGTCTAACCTTTCACAGTCTACTTAGAGTTACTATTATACCACTTCAAGTAAAATGTTGAAGCCTTACTAGCATAAGCTCATATTCAGCTGCACACACTGCTACAGCCATAGCAGCTGTTATGACTGGTGTCCATTCTCATTGGTCACAGTTTCTTTTCTGATTGGTCACAAAGGCCATTCTAATCATGTCCATTCTGATTAGTCAAAGTGTCCATTCTGATTGGTCATAGCAACGTTTCTCATTGGTCACAATGTCCATTCTGATTGGTCACAGTGATCGTTGTGATTGGTAACAGCATCTAATCTATTCTGATTGGTCACAGTACCCATTCTGATTGGTCACAGAATCTATTCTGCTTTATCAGAATACCCATTCAAATTGGTTCGTACCCATGCAGTTTCAGTGTTAAATATTTTGAATACCACCCCTTCTCTCAGTAGAGACCTTCCCAACTAAAATCCATCCTCACCCAAGCCAGCATCTTTCCTCAAGGCACAGGTCCAATTTGAGATCTAGATAGAGGCCTGTAGAGGTGAAAGCATGACCTCACGTGACCTCACACTACCTGAAACCTCATTCAGAACAGTGACTTACAGGAACTCTAACCAGGCTTTACATACAGTACTTGGGACTCCTGTCTGTGTGGTGTGTTTGTTGGCTGAAGATGGTGGCTGTGTGTAACTGGAGAAGCTTAAAATAATCCTTCATGTATTTATTCATTCTACAAATATAATTGAGAGCATACTCTTTTCCAGGTACGGGAAAGACAGCAGTAAACCTGAAAGTCAGGATTCCTGTTCTCGGGGGCTTACATCACCATCATCGTCGTCGTCATCATCATCATCATCATCATCGTCGTCATCTTTATCATTATCATCATCATCACTCAAACAAGAAACACACTAGCCTAATTACTTTCAGAAAGAATCCTAATTTGTTGGTTGATATCATATTTTAAGAGTCAACCACAATATTTAGCATTCAGTAAGGACAACCAGGCCCAGCCTGTAAGGGAGCACCATCGTGATGTCAACAGGCTGACTTCTCCTGTGAACAGGGTTTCTGGCAGTTAGCTGTGGGAGCAGAAGGAAATGCTTCACCTGCTCCTGCCTGAAACAAGACTTGAGGTTAATCCTCATGCATATATATCAGCTATACCCTTAGCCTTCCCTTTTTAGCCTTCCTCCCTACAAAAATATGGCAACAAGTAATCTAATACTTTTATTACAAACTTTTAAGTTTTTAGGTAACACATTCATAGTATAAATAAATTAGAATATACAAATGAGCAGAGAGGACCCAAAACTCATGAATCCAATACTCAGAGATAATCACTGTTAATATTCAGGGGCAAGTATATCTTTACTTATGTCTTTATAGCTATATCCATATCCATGTCGATTCCCAGAATCTCACTTCAGAGCTTGAGTTTGAATTATCTCAGTATAATCAACTACATGGTTGTTATCACATTCCTAAATGTTTCTTGCCCCACCTAGAAATGGAGGTGACTTACACTGTGCTATCAGATAACACAACCCTGACTGAATCCATCACACACCGCCCTGCTCCCCTACAACCTCACCCTGGACAGAGCAGCCCAGCAGGGTGTGGGTCCAGGGATGCACCACCTGGAGACCCGAGCCACCAGCAACACCACCACCTCTGCACCCTCCACAAACATCACGGTTCACTTCATGAAGCCTCTGCCAGGGCCGCAGGCCTCCTGGGCTTCTGACCACTTGGAGCTTGGACAGGATCTACTGGTCAACATCTCAGTGGCTCATGGCATCCCAGAAGAGTTGACCTTTGAGGCAGCAGGACTCAATGCATCCTCCTCCCATGAGGAAGAGAGCCTTGGGCGGCCATCTGGGATTTACCATGTGGCAGGTCCTCTTGAAGGTACTTGGGATTGATAGCTCCCTTCCAAATCTCCCTCCTCTTCCCTTCCTAACTTAGAATCCAGGCTCCTGCCAGCCAGTTTCCAGGGTGTCCTGGACACAAGCATGGTTAAGAGCATCCAACCTGAGTCACAAAACAAGACAGAGATGGATATTATCTGTCCTCATGAGAATATTGACAGGGGTTCTCAACTTTGGCACTTCAGACATTGGGGACTGGATCATTTTGGTTGTGGAGGCTGTTCTGTGCATTATAGGATGTTCAGTAGCATCTCTAGCTTCTATTCTTTAGATGCCAGTAGCACCAGCCTCCCAAGTCTTGGCAACCAAAAACATCTCCAGACAAAGCCAACTGCCCCTTGGGGAACAAAATCACCCTCACTGAGAACCATTGGGGGAGAGCAGGAGTATTCCAATTTCTTCCATCAGTTCTAGAAAATAGTGTGTTTGGGAAACTGCAGCCCATGCCCTTAGGGGCAAGAGAGGTAAACACTGAAGCATGGGAAGAGAAGAGAGAGGGACAAGAGAAGAAGTGTCATAATTCTTACTGGAATAGAGACAGGGCAACTGACTGGCTGGCAGACAGACTGGCTGGCACCAGCCAGGGGAGGAGACCACGCATACATTTGCATTTAATATAAAAGAACAGGGTCCTTGAGGGCAGTCAGGTTAGCAGGCAGGAATGTGATGAGGGCCCAGAGTCTCCAGCTCACCCAGGACCCTGCCTACAGCATCCTCTGCCCTCAATCTCAGAGGTGTGCAAAATAGAGGGTAATATTATGCAGGTGTAGGCCTACCATGCTGTCAGTAAGGGATTTGGCAAAAGAGATGACAGAAAAGACAATAGATTCAAGAAGAAAAGCATAGGAACTTAGCCAGATAATAAAAGTCCAGTTTGGAACAGGAAGAAGCCAAAATGAAATGATGATGGAAACTATACATAATAAATAGACTATAATTCAAATGCAAATTAATTTTTGTCTCCTATAAAAGTTACTCAGGGGATAATAGATAAATTTTAAGCATGCCCTGTGACTTTATGGCTTACTCTTAGATCAGGGGTGGGGAACACCCAGCCCGCTGGCCATATAAGGTCCACAAAATCATTTGGTCTGGCCCTGCCAAGGCATTAGGGGTGAGTTAATTAAATGTTTGACCAAAGATAGCAGGCTTATTTTGTTGTTGTTAATCCTCGTCTGAGGATATTTTTCCATTGATTCTTAGAGATAGTGGAAGGGAGGGAGAGAAACAGAGAGAGAAAAACATCTATGTGAGAGAAACACATTGATTAGTTGCCTCCTGACTGGGGCTGGGGATCAAGCCTGGAACCCAGGTATGTGCCCTTGACTGGAATCAAACCTGGGACCCTTCAATTCATGAGCTGTCACTCTATCCAGTGAGCCAAACCAGCTGGGGCAGCAGGCTAATTTTTAAGTTGATAATTTTGTATGGCCCACAAATAATGTTATAAATATCCAATGGCAGTAAAAAAGGTTCCCACCTCTGTCTTAGAAGGTAAGCAATCTTCTCCCCACAAGAAAAACAGACTTGGATGACTCCAGTGATGAAGGGGCGAGGAGGAAGACAAGGGAACAGGTAGGACAGGAAGGCTCTCACTTGGAGGGGCTGGCCCAGTCCTGGCTGGCCTTGGTCTCAGGGCCCACCACATATTTGCAACTATCTTTGTAAGAGCTTCTCTGGGCTCTCAAGGCCCCGGGCTGCGCCCCTCTGCTCCAGGGCTGGGTGCCACCTCTCCTTCAGCTGGTCACATCCTCCCACATGCCTCTTTCTTTACTACCAAAGAGGTGTCTTTAGCTCACTGGTAAACATAATGGTTTGCTTTTGATCATTTCCCTATGACCTGAATGTTTGCTATGTTCCCTAAACCATTTCCAAAGACAGGCAGATTCCCCAAGATCTTCAGCATACCTTGTGACTTTGTCCTTTGGCAACTTTATCAATACCACCAAAGTCTGACACCTGTTCCGACTGTGTTCACAGCTCCTTCCAGTCTCCAAGAATTATCTGGAACAAATGCTGAGGAAAAGAATGTATTTTTAAAAACACTTAACCTCACAAGAAAAAGATGTCCAAGCACTCTGTTTTTGGGGGGTTTTGTTTTTTGGGGGGTTTTTTTTGTTCTGGTTTTTCAGAACACTAGGAATCACTGATATTTCTTCTGCTTGAAGAGAGACCCAGATGGATTGAAATTAAACAAAGCATGCTATTTGTGTTATAAATCAATAGTAAGATATCTAGGATATGTACATATCTTTTAGCCATCTTGGAAATTAAACATCACACTTCTAAAAAAATATTAATGGGTAAAAGAAAAAAATCACAAGGGAAATTTAAATATATTTTTGAGTGATAATGACAATACAACCTACCCAAATTTGTGGGATGCAACCAAGGCAGTGCTCAGAGGCATATTTATTTCTTTTAATATGTATATCAGAAAATAGGCTTGCTTCTTACAGGGCTTTGATATTTCATCTTCAGTTAACACTTTGAGATGAGATCTGCCTCTCTTTTCTCATTAGCTATTATTATTAAAGTACTACTGCTTGGTCCCAATTCCATGATAAAAGTGCATTCATGGGCAATGTGATGGTTTTTATAGCAAGACTAAGTCTTTGACTCCTTGCTGTTGACATTGCTCATGCATGCATTTATTCAGTAACAAAGACTTACTTTGCATCTACAATGTTCAAGGCTTAGTTTTAGGGACTGGAGATACAATGGTGAATAAAAAGACATGATCCTGCCTTCATGAACCTTACTGGGTGAGATTAACAAACAAATTAGCATATAACTAGGAATTTTGATATGTCTAACTAGAACCAATAGGGTGCAATGAAAGCAACTAAAAGAGGGTGATCTAGCAATTGTGATTAGACAAGGACTTTTTTTAAAATTCTTTATTGTTTAAAGTATTCCATATGTCTCATTTTCCCCCATTGACCTCTCCCTGGACGTTCCCACCCCAGATAAGGAGTCTTAAGAGGTGACATTTAAGGGGGAACCTACTAGAAAGTAGAATAAGAGCTTTCTGGGTGCATGGATTAGAGGGCTCTGAGGCCTGTGTGGAGGAGGGAAAGGATGTAGAAGATAACACAGAGATGGAGAGATGTCAGATCACATGGGGTCTAAGGTGCCAAGGCTTCAGGTTTTGGGTTTTATTATCAGGCCATGGGAGACCACTGGGGTTGAATTCTGCTGTAGCCTCATGTTATTCCAGGTCAAGCCCTATGAGCATAAGCTGTTTAACAGGTCCTTCCAGAACTGACTCCAGGAACACAGTATGCTGGCTGATCCCTCTTCCTAGAATCCACATGCTCTCCATGTTGCCAGCTCACTTTCACTCCTCCTCACAACAGCTCTCTTTGGGGTCCAGTCCTCTGGGGAAGCTTGCCCTGATGCCAGCTGTCTGCTTTGTAGAGGCAACAGCTCGGTGCCCTCCTCTGCACTAGACACAAGAGGAAACACATCACTAGTGTCTCTCATTTGATCCACAGCAATCCCGGGAATCAGATGTTATCAAACCCTCGGAGGGACAGAAGCTAAGAGGCTTAGATACTGGCCAGAGGTCTCAGGGCCAATGATTCAGCCTGAGATCTGGCTGCCCCAAGGCCTACATTCTTAACTTAATGCCCCCCTCTCATACACTCTCATAATCTCCTGGGCCCCCTCTTTTGCAGCAGTGAGCACTCTGTGTTTTAATCGTTTCCTTGTCTGTCTTCCCTACTAAATGGAAGGACAGAGGCCTGGTCTATATTCCTGTTTGTCTAGGCATCAAGCACAGGGCCTGGCTAGAGCAGGTTCTGATTATGCAGTTGAACACATGGTGGACCTTTAGCACTGAGCCCACATTCCAACTAAAGTTACTTACCCAGTGACCATCCCAAGGGGAACCAGGCAGATCAGACAAGGTCTGTCTCCATTCCACACCTTGGCACAATTGTTCTGAAGTAGAGAGTGGGATGCTAACTGTGGAGAAGTGTCTTACAAACCAGCTGCTTTTTCTGCAGAGAGATAAAGGGGATGTGGAGGTATACGTGGAACCTGGTCTATGTGGATCCTTTCACGACAGTGACTCTGCACTGGCTGGATAGTGACAAGGATTTACGCTTCCACTGGTCATGTGGTAGGTGGCGTTAGAGCTCTGGAGCTGTCCTATTTCACCACAAAGCGATGGATAGCAGTTAGCTTTGCTGTTCTTTTTCTTAACCTTCACACCGGCATACTCATGCCTGACATTTTGTGTATACTGTATATGCCAGAGGCTGCAAATTCCAATGGAAATAAGAGGTAACAGTGAAAAACCAAGGTGGGTTTGGTCCTAGAGGCACGCAACAAGGAGATGCATTTAACTGTAGAGAATTTAAGAACTATAACAAACCTGAAAGTCGGTCTGCTTTTGTATTATCACTACAAACAATGCCAGTGGCAAAATGCTCCTCCCTCTTTGGTGGGTCCTTCCTTTCACCTCCATGCCTTAGAACAGAGGTTCTCGGAGAAAACCAAGATGGCGGCATAGGTAAACACCGGAGTTAGCTGCCTCGAACAACCACTTCAAAAATACAACTAAAAGACGGAACGGACATCGCCCAGAATCACAGGAAGACTGGCTGAGGGGAAATTCTTCAACTAGACGGAAAGAGAACAGCATACAAGACTCAGAGGAGGCGCAGTGCGGAAAATACAAAGGTGCAGAGGTACGCGCAGAGCGGGCTGGTAGCTGAGGGCGCGGTTGTCTGTTTCAGTCCGGAGGGAGTCTCAGGCTCTGAGCTCCAGTTCCGGGCGAGTCTCTAGGGACCCAGACTCAAAAGGGAGAAGCGGGACTGTCTGGCATCGGTCGGAACGCGAGGGCGGCTTTCTCTCTGAGGTTTGCAGCGGCTCCTGGGACTCTGAGAGGCAGAGTCTCTGGGGACGGGACTGAGAGCAGCCATAACTGCTCCCTCCACCCGTTCTGTTGAGCCCGTGTGACCCGCCCCACCCAAGCCCTGCGCAGAGCCATTTGCCAGATAGCCTCAGGCAAAGGCTAGATTAGCACCTCCCTAGAGGACAGAAGTTTTCCCACTGCAGACACAGCTGATTCTCACAGCCAGTTGGCCTGGAGGTCAAATCCCCCTAGTATTAACTACAACAATCAAGGCTTAACTACAACAAGACTGCACACAAAGACCACTAGGGGGTGCACCAAGAAAGCATAAAAAATGCGGAGACAAAGAAACAGGACAAAACTGTCAATGGAGGATATTGAGTTCAGAACCACACTTTTAAGGTCTCTCAAGAACTGTCTAGAAGCCGCCGATAAAGTTATTGAGATCCTCAAGAAATCTAATGAGACCCTCGATGTTGTGATAAACAACCAACTAGAAATTAAGTATATACGGACTGAAATAACGAATATTATACAGACTCCCAACAGCAGACCAGAGGAGCGCAAGAATCAAGGCAAAGATTTGAAATGCGAAGAAGCAAAAAACACCCAACCAGAAAAGCAAAATGAAAAAAGAATCCGAAAATACGAACATAGTGTAAGGAGCCTCTGGGACAGCTTCAAGCATACCAACATCAGAATTATAGGGGTGCCAGAAGATGAGAGAGACCAAGATATTGAAAACCTATTTGAAGAAATAATGACAGAAAACTTCCCCTACCTGGTGAAAGAAATAGACTTACAAGTCCAGGAAGCGCAGAGAACCCCAAACAAAAGGAATCCAAAGAGGACCACACCAAGACACATCATAATTAAAATGCCAAGAGCAAAAGATAAAGAGAGAATCTTAAAAGCAGCAAGAGAAAGAAAGTCAGTTACCTACAAGGGAGTACCCACATGACTGTCTGCTGATTTCTCAACAGAAACTTTGCAGGCCAGAAGGGAGTGGGAAGAAATATTCAAAGTGATGACTAGCAAGAACCTACAACTAGGATTACTTTATCCAGCAAATCTATCATTCAGAATTGAAGGTCAGATAAAGAGCTTCACAGATAAGGAAAAGCTAAAGGAGTTCATCACCACCAAACCAGTATTATATGAAATGCTGAAAGGTATCCTTTAAGAAGAGGAAGAAGAAGAAAAAGGTAAAGATACTAATTATGAACAACAAATATGCATCTATCAACAAGTGAATCTAAGAATCAAGTGAATAAATAATCTGATGAACAGAATGAACTAGTGATTATAATAGAATCAGGGACATAGAAAGGGAATGGACTGACTATTCTTGGGGGGGAAAGGGGTGTGAGAGATGCGGGAAGAGACTGGACAAAAACTGTGCTCCTAGGGATGAGGACAGTGGGGGGGGTAAGGGCAGAGGGTGGGGTGGGAACTGGGTGGAGAGGAGCTATGGGGGGGAAAAAAGAGGAATGTAATAATCTGAACAATAAAGATTTACAAAAAAAAAAGACCAGAGGTTCTCAACCTGTGGGTCACAACCCCTTTGGCGGTCGAACGACCCTTTCACAGGGGTCGCCTAAGACCATCCTGCATATCAGATATTTACATTACGATTCATCACAGTAGCAACATTACAGTTATGAAGTAGCAACGAAAATAATTTTATGGTTGGGTCACAACATGAGGAACTGTATTTAAAGGGCCAGAAGGTTGAGAACCACTGCCTTAGAAGAAGAAAGTGATGACGCATTTTCTGGCAAACCAAAATTGTAACAATAGTGCTTATTTTTAAGAAATGGCTGTCCTGGTCCTGGCTGGGTATCTCCCTTGGTTAGAGCACCATCCAATATGCTAGTTGCAGGTTTAATCCTGGTCAGGGCACATACAAGAATCAATCAGTGAATACATAAATGAGTGAAAAACAAATTGATGTGTTTTTTTTTCTCTCCCTCTCTTTCTTTCCTCCCCCCCTTTCTCTAAAAATAAATAATTTTTAAGTTACAACAACAAAAAAAGAAATGGTTGTCCTCCTTTTCATAAGGATATATTCTAGCTACATACATATTTTTTAGAAAGAAAATGAATGCCATTCATACTATACATATTTCATTTGCTACCCTTTTTAATTGAACAATATATCCTACATACTTCAATGTCACAGTACCTTTGACTCCATCTTGATATTCACAGTAGTTGCATAATGGACTGTCAATTGATGCATGATCATTTATCCACAATTGCCTTCTTTTTGGACATTTTGGCTATTTTCAAATTATTTGCCTTTACAAACACTGTAATGAACATCTTTATAGCTGAATCTTAATTTGCATCAGTGGTTACTTTCATAAACACATTTCTAGAAATGCAATAACTGGGTCAAAGTCATGAAATTTGAAGAGTTTTTTTTGGTTGGTGTTGTTAATCCTCACCTGAGGATATTTTTTCCATTGATTTTTAGAGAGTGGAAGGGAGGGGGAGAGTCAGAGAGAGAAAAACATCTATGTGAGAGAGACACATCGATTGGTTGCTTCCTAAGTTACATGCCCTTGGCCAGAATTGAACCTGTGACCCTTCAGTCTGAGGGTCGAGGCTTTAACCACTGAGCAACTGGCTAGGGCTAAAATTTTAAGGCTTTTGACATTAATTATTAAGTGGTCAGAATGTCCTTTTGCGTATTAGTTCTTGTTATTTAAATTAATAAAGGATACCATGCAGAGTTTAGGTAATTGAGCTGATGACCTGACCCCTGGACATGTCTTTGGAATGACTATCATATTTGGGGCAGGGGATAAATATCAATAAACAAATTTGAAGGGCAAAGAATACAGAGATTTACTGAGCTGGTTTCATAAAGCAGAAAATGACATTGCAGCCTCCCAGATGGAGGGACAGCTCCCCAAGTCCCCAGTGCACCCCACAGTGACATACAGCTGTGGACAATTACTTCCATGTGGAGTGAGAAATACACCAGTGACAAAAAGCTGCCCTGGACATTCTCCCAGGCGGGCACCTCTCATTATATGCCAGCCTGCTCACCAGTGCAAGTTACTGGCACAAAACAAGGCAACATATTCTGCAGGTTTGCTCAGAGTCTGGGTGAAGCACAGGTCATTTTCCCAGAAGTATCTTTCTGCAGTACCATTCCTGCAACCTGCAAGTGAAATTTTAAAAAATATATCAAAATCTCTATTTGAAGCTGATTTTCTTATCTATGACCCTTTTCTTCTAAAAACCCCAAACCAGAAGGTAGCCACATGTGTGAAGTTCAGAGTTCCTGGATGGACAGTGTTTGCCCATCTCTGTTTCTCAGGACGTTGCTGGGCTCAGTGGAACGACTGTATTGAGAGGCAGCTGCTTTGCACAGACCAGAGGGAGTTGGGGGTCCCTCCGTCCTGCCTGCCACCACCCAATTCTGCAGTGACCCTGCACCTGGCCATCTGGAGAGGCCAGGAGCTGGAGAAGCAGGAGGAGCAGTGCCTTTATGTGTCCTCCCCCCTGAAACTCAAGCCTCTAGTCAGGTGGGGCTGAGAGAGCGAACCCCTGCAGTGATGAATTCATTCATCATTCAGGCACCATTTACTGAGAACCAAGCTCATCTGGCATTGACTTAGAGCAGGGCTTACAGTGGTGGTCAAAACCAGACCCGGTCTCAGTTCTTATAGATCTCAGTTACTACCTTGTGGTCAGCAATGATTCGAAAATGAATGAAAGAAGAGAACATACTTCTATGACAACTTTCTTAACTTGGGGTCAGGGAAGGCTTCTCTCAGCAGAGATGAGAAATGTGAAGAGGAATTAAGTTGGCCAGGGAAAAAGGGACTGGGAAGGAAACAGAGTGATAAAGGAGGGAGAACAGAACAACCTGGATGCGAGAGAGGCTGGTGTGGGAAAGAGAGGCAAGAAGAAACTGAAGAGTAGGCAGGGCCTTGCAGTCATGTCAAAGACAGGATTTTGGTCTTTATCCTAAGAGTTTGGGAAAGCCATGCAAGAGTTTTAAGCAGGTTCAGGACATGATCACGTTTTGCTTCAAAATGCTCTGGTAGCAGGGTGGAGGAGGGCAAGAGAGAACTCAGGGAGATTGCTTAGGCTCTTGCAGGAATCTAGGTGAGAGCTCAAGATGGCTTGGTCTATCAGCCAGGTCCCTGCAGGAAGCAGATGGCTCACTCAGACCAGGAGTTGATGAGAGCTGGATGAGAGTCTATTTACAAATGTGGGCAGAAATGAGGGAACAACCTGGGGATGACAATGCAGAACTACAACAGGGAAAAGCCATTATCCCTCTTACTAATGCAGAAGTAAGGGGGTGGGGGATGGCGTTACTAGAAACCTCGAGGATCTGCAGCTTGCGAGAGGTGCCCCCCAACAGGAGCTATGGTCTTGGCTGGAGGAACACAGCCTCTGCCAGCTGCAGCCTACCAGGGGAAGTTGTAAGTAAATAAATACCTCAGCCTCTGTCCTCTCACCCCCAACACCAGCCAGTGCTTCCTATTGGCTAAGCCCAACAGAAAGCCAGAGGGTGCAGGAGCCCAGGTGATGCAGTCTACAGGGATCAGTCTTCTAGTACACAGAGCCCTGGAGTTGATGGACAGTGGGCTGCAGGGTAAACGGAGAATGTCTGGCACATTCGTCCTAGGATAGACATGAAGACAGGAGTAGGGAGATCTAAAGAGCTTCTTTCAAGTTATAACTGGAAGGACCTGGGAATGGATTGAACACACAGCAAGTGCCAAAGTAATTCCCACTGGCTCAAGGGAGGGGGTATTATAGAGAAAGCCCAGGATTCAAATTAAGACATGTTGTTTCACATTCCATCCCCCTACTAAGGAGGATGTCACTGAAACAACTCATATATAAGCTCCCCAATCTGGTTTGCTGGTCTGTATATGGGGATTCTAATATGACACTCATACGGTTGTGGATAAGCTAATAACAGTGGAAGTCATGTATAAACTGTGGCATGCATGCTATAAAATCAGAGCATTCATTTATTATTATTAGAATGAGGAAGAATCATGGACAATGCCTGCTCTAATCCCCTCACAAGGAAACTGAGGCTGAGAGTTCATGCAAGGTGTCAGGGAGAGAATTCAAGGCCAGCGTCCTATCTCAGCCTTACACACTTTCCATATCATTACCCTGGGCAGTGCATGAAATGGAAATTCAGTCAGGCACAGATCACTCCACCTTCACGGCCAAAGCTATTTCCCAGTTTTGGTTGGGTGAGGGTTGCTTTTATTCCATCTTTCACTTGAAAAAAGGGACCTTTCTCACCTTCTCAAAGGACTGAGAACAACTGGACAAAAGACCAGGCAGGTAGGTGGCCACGACGTCTGAATGAGCTTCCTCACTCTGTTCTCTGTCTCCCTTTCAGCTGTGAGAAGAGCTGCGGGTCAGTGAATGCCAGCGAAGATGTTATGCTCAGTCAGGGTCTCCATGGGGAAAGACTCCCCAGCAGCCATGTTCAGCTGGTATTTAGATGACACTCCACTAGAGAAGGTGAGGACACTGGCAACCACTCAAAAATGGAAAAGTTTCCCCACTTTGACTTTCATATGCCCAGGACTAAGCTGGGGTGGGTCAACTCCACCCAGAGCTGGTGGAGAGGGAGTAAAGGGGTAGGGCACATTCCCCAAAGGAAAACCAGGGCATTGGTCAGAGAAAGAATGGATGCCTGGGAGCAAAAACAACGGGGAAACACCACCGCAGATGCTGTTGGTGCCCCAGCCCTGTGGCCAGTAACTGTGCAGCTTATGTGTTCCAGAGCTCCCTGTGGGATCAGGCTGAGGCTGGACACCCCCTGAGACCACTTCTTTGCCTAGTTTCATTCTCCACCCTATTCTGCTTCCTTCCCTTCCCTACTGGTTTTCCCTAAGAGCCCTCCCTCGATAAACTATCTGCAGGTAAATCCTCATCTCAGGCTGTGCTTCTAGGGAACCTGACCTAGGACAATACCCTGACCAGGTTGGAGACTGCACATCCAGGCTGACCTCAGGAAGCACACAGTGCCTGCTACTCATCCATCAGAATAAATCTGAAAGGCCTCCCAGGGTTAGAAACCAGGGCCCTGCTGAGGTCTAGTGGCCTGACTGTAAACTCAGGGGCTCTGGACTGTGCTCTCTTTCAGATCCAGCCCCTCCCAGCAGCCTGTAGACTCCGAGGATTTTGGCCAAGATCTTCAATCCTCCTCCAGAGCAACACATCCGCGCTGCTACTCAACAGCTCCCTGCTGCAGGCCTGGGGCCCGGCCAGCCGCATCCAAGTCACAGGTGGGAAGACCTCCCTCAGTCTCTTGTCATGGATTCGGTCTGTTGCAGAAAAGGAGCCAAGAAAAACCCAGAAGCCTGAAATATGGAACATCAGGCTCTGGTGTGAATCCCATCGACCACCAGCTTCTAGCTTGGAGGGTTTAAACAAGGGATTTAACCTCTCTGTGCCACAGTTTCCACACATGTAAAGTAGGTGTACTAAAATCACCTGCCTCCTAATTGTATGATGCAGGGTACATGAGACAACACCAGCGGTGCAAGCAGATCATCCTGGGGTCGTGCAGCCTGCATGTCTTGCCAGGACAATCAGCACTTTTTACTTAAAACAAGCCCAGTGCGCAGGGCAATGTAGATTCTCAAAAAGATAAATACTGAGAGTGAAATTTTTTTTCTGAATGGATTCCTTTGACTCAGTATTTCTCAAAGTGGCTCATAGACCACCCACACTGGGATAACCTGAGGTACTAATATAGAATGCATACCCCTGGGTTTACCCCAAACTTTCTGAATTAAGTCTAGGCCAAGGAATGAGTTTTAATTAAGATTCTCTTTATGCCCAGTTCTTCCAGGTGCATACTCTTTTTGAAAAAACTAGGAGATTATGCCAGGTGATGCGGGATGTTGGTGCAGCAGGTCAACTTGGGGGTAGCGGGGGTTACTATTCTCAATGCTGTGGGGCCTGGAAAGAGCATGGTCTCAGGTGGGATCAGCCTGTTTCCAGATCCTGGCTGTGGCCCTACCTTGCTGAATGACCTTGAGCAAGTCATTGCTCCCAGTATACTCCCTCCTCACCAAACTCTGAGGAAGCTCCATTTTTACAGCCCCATTTTACAGATGAGGAACTGACTCTCAACAGCTTAAGTCCAAGGTCACATGGCTAATAAATGGCAGAACTAGGATTCAAGCTTAGGTCTGTCTGAATCTGTTCTTCCATCTCTGCCCAATTTCTCAAAGTGAGATGCTGGGATGTCCTGCATCAGGGCATTTGTTAGATTTCCAGATTTCTGGGCCCATCTCAGAACCTCCAGAGAGGTCTGAGGCTCAGGGTCCAGAGAGGGACTTGGGAATCTGCATGTTCAGCAAGTTTCCCAGATGATCCCAAAGCATGGTGGGGTTAGTGTGACCCACACAGCCCTAAGCACCCTTTGTCTTCACTTCCTAGCAATGACCAGGCATGTCTACGGGGAGGACACCTATGCTATCAGCTCTCCGCCTCCCCCTGAGGTGCCCACCTGCATCATTGCCCCGGAGGAGGGCACCGTTCTAACAAGTTTCGCCATCTTCTGCAACACCTCCGCGGTCTTGGGCCCCCTGGAGTACTGCTTCTGTCTGGAATCAGGTACTGGCCAAGGCTAGGCTCCTCCCTCAGCACTCGGGCTCCTCCTTTCCCAGAACAGGGCCCGTCTCTCTCTGGAAGCTGCAAAGAATATGTTCCATGTATGAGAGAGGTTTGCAAGATGAAAACTCCCCTAAATACCCCATCCCCACTGCACAATACCCTGTCACCACAACCCAACCCAGGACAGCAGTAGGGCATCAGCAGGAGAGATGGGGTGAGCAGCCACACTGCATCTGTTCTCCAGTTTATGGATGGTCGACCCTTGGAGAGCTCATATGCATCTTTGTCTCCTCCCAGTGGGTTTTGGCATTTTGGGACCCTCCCATGAGCTCTGAAAATATTCTAGTTAGATTAAAACTTTCTTCCAAACCTGGACATCAGGAGTGTTGCTGGGGCACTCTCCAATATTCAGCACTGAACACTATAAAGATATAAATTGAGTGCCTTGACCAGGGAAAGGTGGACGTAAGCTATCCTGCGAGTGTGGTTTTCATGGGGTGTCCCTCTTCGGAGGCCAATGGCAACCAGGTAGGTGTCCCAACCCAGATGCAGACCTCACACCTACCATATACCCAGCTCACACCAGCTTTTCTAGGTGGATCTTTCACCACATCTTGAAGATGAGGAAATTGAGGCGTGGAGCTGAAAAAATGGTTCCAGAGACCATAACTTCTGAGAGGCAGTATGGTGTAGCGGGCCAAGAGCAGGCTCTAGTCTAGAAGGAGACAGACTGACTTCAAATCCTGCCTCTGTTGCTTACACGCACCTCCCGCACAGAGTTAGTTGTCTAAAGATGAAAAGGGTTCATATAAGTCAAGTGTTAGAAGCTTTATAAGTGCTTACCCTTTGTTCCCTCAATTAATGGCGTCCCATCATGGTCTGCCTCACTCCTCCACCCTCTCTCAGTCCCTGCTGAAGGTCCCACACTAGCCTCGTGACAGTAACCAAAGGTGGCATATGGAGACAGGTCTCTCTCCTTTCTCTCTCCTCTCTCTTCTCTTTGTCCTCTCTCTCCCCTCCCTTTCCTCCTTCTTTCCCCTCTCTCCTTTCTACACACTCCTGCGTTCTTTTCCAGGCGGCCACAGTGCCTCAGATGCTCAAAGTTGTGGAGCCAGGACGCCCTCCTGCTGGGGAGACTGCCCACGGGCCTTCCAGCCACACTGGCCACCCCCTCCATTTTCATGTACACCAATAGGTAACCAACTGCACTGCAGGTCCCCAAGAAAGCCCGTCCCCTGACCTGGCTCATTCCAAGACCCTGCGGCAGGCAGAGCCCAGGAGACCAGCCTTGGAAGTGGGAGAAGTGACAGGACCTAGAAGTGGAAAGGGCTTCTCACTGAGAGATGGTCCCGGTGTTGGGTTGCCCTCTTGGATCCCAGAACAGTTTCCCAAAGCAGTATCCTGATCACACACAAGGTCAAAGGTTATAAAGATGGGGCTGGGAGCCCATAACATCAGAAGTCAAGTGGATAGGGAAGATAAGCCTGGAGAAATGTCCACATCACAGCTCACTTATCCACTCAACAAAATATGTATTGACCACCAGAATGTTCCAGACACTGCTTTAGGCACTGGGGGTACAGCAGTAAATGAAGCTGGCTAAAGCCCTGTCCTCATGGAGCCTGCAACCCAATGCAGGGGTATTGGCGGCCTTTTATGCTGCTGCTACTGACACAAACATGCAGAACCATATAAGGGGATTGAAACAGAGCAGCCTATTCTGATGGTAACGCAGGCCTCAGCTCTTCCTCTGACACAGGCTCTCTCCTCTCTCCCGGCACCTCTGCTCTTACCTTATGGCCAGAATTCAGCCCCGGAGCTGGCAAGACTCCTCTGTGCACATTGCTGCTGCCAACTCTGCGACCTTCACCCTGCCTGCTACCTCCTCCCTTGGCTTCATGCAGGACTGTCAGGAGCCCGTGGACATACGGGTAACAACAGTAATAACCTGCTTGGGAACAGCCCTTTACAGTTTGCAAAGCACTTTCACAACATCTGCTCAGTTATGTTGCTTGATCACAGTCCTGTCAATTACTCAGTATTATGATGCCCATTTTACAGATGAGATTCAATGACTTGCCCAAGGCCACGAGCAAAGTGGGAGAGCTGGGATTCAGACCCAGGCCTTCTGACCTCCAAATCCAACTTTTTCCACTATGTTCTGGAATTTCTCCAGCAGCCTTGGTTCAATTAGTCATTGTAAATGGAGCTCTTTTAACTTCATTCCATAACTAGGAAATGGCAAACCAGGGCTCTTTTCCATTTCCAAATTAGTATGTACCTGACTCTTTGCTCCTTGAGCCCCACTGAAAGCAAACAAACTTCTTTCTCTCAGAGACTTGTTAGCTTTGCTAGAAGAAAGGCTCAGACTATTGTACAGCCTAGTAACTGCTCAGCTATAGCCAATCTGGTTGGGTTGCCTATGCCCAGCTTTCTGAGTCTACAGCGCTGAAGGGTAGACACACACTAGGAAAAACAGCAGCAGCTAAAGGCAGGGACCCCATTTACCCCTAAGAGTGAGGGCCCCTTGTCCATCCCATCTTAAGATACCTCATAATTTCCATAGGGACCTTGTCGCCTTCCAGCCTTTGGGGTCCTGGGCCAACACTCCTTGTTCTTGGTTCCAGATGATGAGTTTCCCAAAAAACCCTTTCGCAGCCCAAAGTCACTTTGATGTCAGCGGAACTGTTGGGGGCCTCTCTCTGACCAGCTCTAGTGGACAGCTCATACCCATGAAGAATCTGTGGGAGAATATGGAGGTAGACATTCAGTGTGCTGTCAGAAGTCAGGTGGTACTTCTATCTTTTTCAACTTGGTTGGGACTAAAAGTTGGTTGGCTATGGAAAAAATATATTAAAGAGGATAATCATTAAAAGTGATCCTTACCCTGCCCGGCCGGTGTGGCTCAGTGGTTGAGCATTGACCCATGAACCAGGAGGTCACATGTTCTATTGATGACAAGGAATTGAGGCTCCTAGAGCTGCTATAGGGCAGACCTCTCTGCCTCTACAGCCTGTGCTCCTAACTTGATCCACACTTTCACCAATACTACCACTAGTTCACAGGGCACCTTCGTGCAAATTACAAAAAGTCTCTGCTCTTTCTGTGCAGCCGCAACCCTGAGCTGTGGTGCAGAGCTTCATGACCATGGCAAGCTGAATAAAGACCCCAAGATGTCCATGTTCTCATCCCTGAGCCTGTGAATATGTCACCTAACATAGTGAAAGGGACTTTTGCAGATGTGACTTAAGTTAAAGATCTTAAGATGATCCTGGATTATCTGGATGGGCCCAATGTTATCACAGGTCCTTATAAAAGGGAGGCAGAGGGGGAGATGACTACAAAAGAAGAAAAGGCAATTTGATTACAGAAGCAAGAAGGCAGGTGATGGGAGGAAGGAGCTATGCGTCAAGGGATGTAGGCAGCCTGCAGAAGTGGGAAAAGGCAAATCAGTGGATTCTCCCAGAGAGCCTCTGGAAGGAACCAGCCCTGCCAATGTTAGCTCTATGAAATGGATTTTGGACTTCTGGCCTCCAGAACTAGAAGATAACAAATTTGTGCTGTCTTAAGCCACCAAGTTTGTGGTCATTTGTTATAGCAGCTCTAGGAAACTAATCGAATGAGCAAAGCACAGAGTGGATTTCAGTTCCCCCAGTGCTCACCTTGCCCAGCTCTGCCCAGCAGCCCTGATGCTCACTGGCATTCCCACCCTGGCTCACCCCTGATTTGGTTGTTTCCGATGACAGATCCTGCTGCCTCGGTTTTCAGGACACAGTGAGCCAACTGTGTTGAATCTGACCAGTCCTGAAGCTCTGTGGGTGAATTTGACTTCAGGGGTGCAGCTTTGGGGATCCAGCTGCACTGGAGACCTGACATCCCACTCACACTCAGCCTGGGCTATGGCTACCACCCCAACAAGACCAGCTACGACGCCAAAGCTCACCTTCCACTAGTGACTTCTCCAGGTAGTCACATCATCAGACCAGTTTCTCAAGCTGCTTCCTGGGAGTGTGAGCAGCTCAAAACTTGAGCATCAGAAGCCAAAGGGAAAAAAGAAAAAGAAAAAAAAAACACACTTGCTATATTAGGTGAGTACTTACTATATGCCCTGATAAGCACTCACAGAACTGACCTCATTGCAATCCTCATAACCCTCAGGAATGGGAACTATTGCAATCTCCACTTTCCAGATAACAGCAGAGAGGTTAAGCAACTGGCCAAAGTCACACGTTCAAGAAGGACAGAGTCAGAATTTGAACCCTCATCTGTTTGACTTGGCAGCCATGCTCTGCACACTAACTGGGAGTGCCTCGTTTAAGCTCCTGATCTCAGGAGGAGAGGGTACTGCTAGCACATTGGGGAGACCATCAGGGTCAGCTTTCCTGGCAAATTATCTCAGTCCCCCTTTTCTATGATGTTAGCCAAGTCTCCACAAGGCTTCAGGCTGACCTTAAGCCCCATTTCCTGCAGATGGGCTGTCCACAGGGAAACTGAGCCCAGAGGTCCTGCACTTTGGAGAAGGTGTCTACTATCTGACTGTGATCCCCGAGTCTGACCTGGAGCTGACCCCTGGCAGAGACCTCACAGTTGGCATCACCACCTTCCTTTTCCATTGTGTGTTTTGGGATGAGATCCAGGAAACTTGGGACAATTCTGGGTGCCAGGTAAGAGGAGGAAGTGAAGAAGACATAACAGCTTGGTGGGGTGTGTCCTGCTCCTTTAGGGTCCTGTTTTAGTGCCTCTGGTATACCATCAGCTCCTCCTTGGGGCCTTTGCATATGTGCCTGGGAATGTGTCCCCAATCCCCATTCAGTGAAGTTAACTCCTCCATCACATTCCACCTGAAATTTCACTTCCTCCAGGAACTTCTCAATGCCCTGCTTAGCTCAGATTTCCTACTGTGAACACTCAGAGCACATAGGCCCGTCTCCTCCATGGACTAAGCAGAATAGTAGTTCACATCCACTCAGATCACTGAACAATGTCTGTACCCTCAGTGCACTGGGAGTCACATGAGACAGGAACAATGTGCTTTGCTCACTGTTAGGAACAAATGACCACTGAACACATGGACAAATGGCTGGGAAGCCCTGCTGACTCAGTTGCGGAGAGAGGCCAGAGTGTCATGTCCAAAAAGTCCTCTATGCCATGGTGCTGTGTTCCATGTTTTCTTGTGTTATCTCATCAAATCTTCACAATAACCCTCTAAGGTAGTTGGTATTCACATTCTACAGATGGTAAAACAAAGGCTCAGGAAATTCAACAAAGGCTCAAGGTGACCTGGGATGAGTCACCCCGCCTCTTAGAGCTTTCCCATCTAGAAATGAACACAAAGATACTTGTAGTTGTAGCCCTGAATCTCTCACCTAGTAGGTAGAAGAGTTGGGACTCAAACTCAGGTCTGTCTGCCTCCAGAGAATAAGCTTTAGCGATATGAGGCACTGTTTCTCCGGAGCCCCGCCCAATCTCACTGAGCCCCTGGGATGGCATGTGGCTCTATTAACTGCAATTAAATCCCTGTCTTGGGTCAGTTCAGCTCTTCTCCCTAGGAGGCAAATGTGCTGGTAGCAGCTATTGGCTTTGATGCCATCAGAAGCCATCGCTGTGGTATCAGTATCCCCCTCCCCACTTCTATGCTACTGTATATGCTGTTCTCTTCCCTGGAATGCCCTTCTTATCTATAATACCTATTCACCCTTCAATCTCCCACTCCACTGCCACTTTCTTCAAGGAGCTTCTCAGATGCCTGGAGTCTCCCTCTGTTGGATTTCCACAGCACTTCATATCCTCCCCAAGAACAGCAGCCTCCATTTCTAGCTCAAATTTATCACACATCTGTCTCCACCTAGAGACCATAAATGCCTTATTTCATTTATTCTACAAATAGCTACCATGTGCCTGGCCAACTGGTGGGGATATAATGGTGAGAAAAACCAGTGAGCTTTCAGTTTAGCAGAGGACACAGACAAGAAACTGATGGCACATGCCATGTCAAATTACACCAGTTACAAGTAGTGTAAGAAGTCAGGTTGCAACAGAGTCACAGAAGGGGACTCAGAGCAAGCTCCTTCCAGGTCTGTTTCTGCTGCCATGTCAACTCCTGCCCTGGCTTCCAGCTGCCACACATGGGGAGCTCCCAGAGCACAGGAAGAGATGAGAGGACACTGAGATGTCCAAGGCACAGCACCTGCAGCACAGGCCTTTGTTCCTTATGAACAATACCCTGGTTGTGTTGTGACCTCCTAGAGTCCTTGCTCCCAGAGGCTGTTTGATCCCCATGTTGCTGGCACAGAGTGCCCACTACAGGCTGCCCTCAGATGCCCGAGGCTCAGAATGTGTAGGGGCTGGCAGCAAGGGCTCCACCACTAGACAGACTTGGGTCCAATCCCACTTCATCAATTCTAGCAAGGTGACCTGGGATGAGTCACCCCGCCTCTTTGAGCTTTCCCATTTGGAAATGAGCACAAAGATACTTGTAGTTGGAGGCGGGAACTTAGATGAGATTAGGGGTATAAAGTACTTAGTGTGGTGTCTGGCACACAGTGAGTGCTCCAAAGATTAAAGAGATGGCTATGTTAGCCAATCTGAACATAGAGAAGACAACACTGTACATAAAATAGAAATCAAGGAGACAATGAACATGGGATTCAGCATGGTGGTTGGGTGGGGAGAAGCATGAGAACAGGTTTGGAAAGGACAACTTCGCTAAAAGTAAGTTATTGGGAAGTTCATAGCTTTTGAGTTGTGGGTTCTTGGGTGCTTATTATGTTATTAAAAATATATACTTACTGACCTAGCTGGTTTGGCTCAGAGGATAGAGCGTCCGCCTGCTGACTGAAGGGTCCCAGGTTTGATTCTGGTCAAGAGCACATGCCTGGGTTTCAGGTTCGATCCCCAGGTGGGGCGTGTAGGAGGCAGCCAACGAATGATTCTCTCTCATCGTTAATGTTTCTATCTCTCTCTCTCTCCCTTACTCTCTGAAATCAATACACACACACACACACACACACACACACACACACACATACATACATGAATGTGGATGTACAAAGGTCATATGTGAAAGTGTGTCACAGACCAAAAGTACCCAATATTGTGCACTTGCTGCTCATTATAGATAGATGTAAATACAGATACAGATATATAGAGGTCATTGAGGACCATAAATAAGTAAATGCGATCATCAAGTTTGCATGGAAAACCACCAATGAATCCTCTAAATAGCTAAAGAAGGTTCCAAATCTATGGACTACAGACCTTATCACGGGGTAAAGGCAGAAATATTGCAAGGGGTCTGAGAGCCATACTAAAGGCGCAACTACTGTTGCAAGAGGATGCACAGATTAATTTCAAATTTTCAACGAGGTCCTCATGCTGGAAAAGGTTGAGAAAGCGGCTTTTCCTTCCTCTCCCCAGGAGTCTTATGAAAACCCAGAACAGCAAAGATCTTAGACATAAATCAGATCTGGTCTCAGGGCTCTCAGCACTGAGATGGTCTTGTTACTGGCACCTGTTTGGGTTTCTTCTCTGAAATTAGCCCCACCCCTTCCGGGTGTGCCAAGTGTTCCCACAAGACCCACAGCTGTATGCCAAATGCTCTGGCCAGAATTGGGAAACAGTGAGAAAAACAACAGAGCACACAAGGGACTAAGACCGATGTGAAATCCACCAATGAATAGTTGGTGCCATGCCTTTGCTGGGTGGCTCATTTAAGGGAAAAGGGGCATGTTTGGAATATGGCAGATTCTTCCTTACCAGGCATTGAGCAGAGTACTTTCCGCATGCCAGTGTTTTCTGCTTCCTCCTACCTTCACCTTGTGGTGGACCCTGAAATGAATAGGTGGTTCTGGGTTGTGGGGTTGAATTAAATCATCTTTGCCCACCAAATGGCCCTGGGGGGAGAATTCAAACTGGCCGAGGGCTTTAGGGAAGGCCTGCTTCTAAGTGCAGGGTATACATTAAGAGCATAGCTAAGGTTTCTGCCCTTACCCATTCCTGTCTCCCTGTCCCCAACCTCACTGTCCCATACCACACGGGACAGCGTGCTAAACTCCATCCACATGCCCTGCCCACTCAAGCTGATGATCCTGAGGAATAGGTCAATGTGGGTCCTAGAAGCAGAGAATTCTGAGGCTCCAGGTCCCCAAGCCTCAGTTTAAAAGTGAAAGGGTAGGATAAGTCAAGTGAGGCACCGGGAGAACAAAATTTAGGGAGGACTCATTCTCAGGGTCATCCAAGGCCTTGCCCTAGTCCTAGCTGGGTGGTATGTGCTGTGGTGCGAGTGTCTCCTCAGCCCCAAAGCCTCATCCTGTGTAGAGGGGCACAGCCCAGGGACAGCTAGAGTGGGACCCTTCTAAGGAGAAGCCCAGGACAAGGGCTCCAGGTGCCTACAGCTAAGGAGGGGGGTCAAGTTTAGGGAATAGTTTCCTGTGCTGAGACACCAGCTTAGAATGAAATATTTACCCTTCCCTTTTCCTTTGCTGTTCAGTGTAAGATGACCAACTTAAGATGTTCAGTTTGAAAAGCAGGAAAGTCCCCAGCAAACTGAGATGCATTGATCATCTTGGATGTCCTCTCAGCACCTAGCCCATTGCCTGGCCTAGATTTAGCATTTGACAAATATCTGTAAAATGAATGAGCATCAGGTGAGAGAATGGACTGGAATGATGCACACCAAAGTGTGATAATGGTTGTTTGTGGAGGGTGAGGGACAGAGGGGACTTTAGCTTGCCCTGCAATACTTATCTAAAAAAGGCAAAGCAGACTGACAAGGTGGACAGTTGCCCATTGATAGGGATGGATGCAAAGATGTTAGTTAAAGGTAAGATTCTCCTCATTTTAAAATTATTTTTTAATTAAATTTTTAAAAACCCAAACAGAATCCTGAAGCTGGTCTCCCAACAGGCTCTCCAGCCCCTCCCCAGGACAGTGTCCACTTCTCATCACTCTCCCTTGGGCTCGAGCCATTCTGGAATGTACTCGCATTGCCACCAGGGCCTCTTTGCAGTTGCAGGTGGGGCCACGAACCACTCCCTTCCAGACACACTGCCTCTGCAACCATCTTACCTTCTTTGGAAGCACATTCTTGGTGATGCCCAATGCTATTGATGTCTGCCATACCAGAGAGCTCTTTGCCACCTTTGAGGACAATCCTGTGGTTGTGACTACCGTGGATTGTCTCATCGTGGCCTATGCATTGGTGGTGATCTGGGCAAGGAAGAAGGATGCTCAAGATCAGGCCAAGGTGAGATTGTATGGTCTTGGGGAATGGGAGGGAGAAGCAGGTGTGAACCCTTGCAGGAGCTCCAGGGAATGGAGCCCAGATGGGAAGCCAAGAGGCTAGATACAAATCTAGGCCATGGCCCCTGTAATCATCTCAGGCAAGCCAGTCCCCAGCCTCTTTATCTGTAAAAATGTTCTTTTTCATAAAATTATCACAAGGATTATGATACTGATCATTTATTGAGGATTTACTATATGCTAGGCATTACCCCATTTAATACTCACAATAGCCCTAAGAAGAAGGTACTGTCTTGAGGGTCCCCAAGACCACCCTCAGATTCAATGCTTTGCTAGTAGGACTCACAGAACCTCAGAAAAGCTGTTATACTCATGATTATGGTTTATCACAGTGAAAGAATACAGATTAAAACCAGTAAAGGGAAGGGTCCATGGGAGATCAGGCGAGAGCTTCCAGTTGCCCTCTCCCAATGGAATTGTACAGGACAATGATGTGTGACAATATGTGCAAAGTATTGCCATCAAGAAAAGCTCACCTAAACTTTGGTGTCTAGGGTTTAATTGGGGGTCAGTCATATAGGTATGGAGTGCGCACATGACTGACTTTCCTTACATAGTCTCCAACAGTCTGACCCTGCCCAGGGTCAAATTGATACAGCATGGCTAAAAGCCCGCACTATAAATCACATTGTTAGCACAGACTACCTGCTGTGGCCCATGGCCCCAGGTATTGAAAGACACACTTATAATACTGGATCTTCTGGGGAGTTATAGATTATCCTTCAGGATCTGGACAAAAGTCAGTCCTTTCTCTGAAATGTGCAGGGTTTGGACAACCCAAGCTTGCTGAGTTCACCCTTTACTGCACAATACCTCTATCATCTTACAGAGGAGGCAACCAAGGATCTGAGAGCACAATTAACTGGTCAAGAGCTACCCTCCCGGGAGGCAGAATTCAAACCTTGAACTCGGATAATAAAGCAGGTCTGAGGATAGAAACAAGATCTAACAACAAATTGTGCAACAAATTACAACAAAGTTCTGATTATTTTTCCAATATATGCCCCATGCCTGACACATAGTGGGCCTCCAATAAATATCTGTGAGTGAGTGAGCACATAAATGAACACTAGTATGCAGGTGCAAAGCTCTGAAACATTTCCATTCTCTGCCCTCTCCCCACATAGCAACACCTCTTGGATGTTAAGATGATATGGCACTTAAGATAAATAGCTGCAGCATTTATACTGCTGTCTTTGATTCATTCAAAGGATTAAACATTAATACTTTAAGTGCTTAGCTGTAGGTTGATTCCACAAGGCAGAGTCTGAGATGGAGTTTAGCATGCAGGGTGTTTATCAAGCAGTGCCCGGGATCAGCCCATGGGAAGGCAGGGAAGGAGATAGGATGAGTAGAGGGAGAAGCTGAGCTGAAATTCAGCCCACTGACTGCCCTGCTGACCCAGAGAGAACTCCAGAGCTCTCCAGAATTGGGTTGAGATGCCCAAGTCTTGATTACACCTGGGCACCACATCAATCTGCCACCTCCCCAGGGGGTGCCTGACCTCAACAGAGGTGGTTCTTGCATCCCTGACAACAGCACCTCAGCAACTGGGGCAACATGCCCTCCCTTGACAGATCTGAGCAGTTCATCACAGCTTTTGAAAATATTTTTTATTTTTTGCTTAGCTACCTTAACATTCATTCCTTTTAAAATCCCTCAAAGGCACAATATGGTTATCAAATGCTATAACAAATTATATCAAATTTTGTATCATTCACCAGATTAAATATTCTCAGCTTAATAATACCAAGTTCATTTCCTGACTACTTTGGGTCATATTTAATAACAAATGCATTTTGTACTTTTTCTTTTAAAAGTGTTTGTTTTTCCCTGTTCTCACCTGATGGAGTAAGTAAATAGCATACATAATTTTGCTTCCTCCCTCTAATTGTCTCTGTTGGCTGCTGTGAAGTGGAAAAACCCACTGAGCAGAGCCCTCCTGACTTAATCCTTCTGTCCAGGTGAAGGTCACAGTGCTGGAGGACAATGATCCCTTTGCCCAGTACCACTACCTGGTGACAGTCTACACTGGACATCGGAGAGGGGCAGCTACTTCCTCAAAGGTACCTGACCATTCAAGGTGGCTCAGTCAATCAGCATGTGCCACTCAGCAAAGTGCTTGCCAGTCCATTGTTGGGTTACTTTAGCAGAGTGGATTTGGCGCTGTAGAGTGTATGTTTCTTGTTGTTGTTGTTTTATCTCTTGCTTTTTGTTTTTTTATAGAAATCAGCTGACAGTCGTATGGGTACTCCCTTGTATGTAACTGACTTTCTTTCTCTTGCTGCTTTTAAGAGTCTCTCTTTGTCTTTTGCTCTTGGCATTTTACTTATGATGTGTCTTGGTGTGGTCCTCTTTGGATTCCTTTTGTTTGGGGTTCTCTGTGCTTCCTGGACTTGTAAGTCTATTTCTTTCACCAGGTAGGGGAAGTTTTCTGTCATTATTTCTTCAAATAGGTTTTCAATATCTTGCTCTCTCTCATCTTCTGGCACCCCTATAATTCAGATGTTGGTACGCTTGAAGCTTTCCCAGAGGCTCCTTACACTATCTTCATATTTTTGGATTCTTTTTTCATTTTGCTTTTCTGGTTGGGTGTTTTTTGCTTCTTCGCATTTCAAATCTTTGACTTGATTCTTGCACTCCTCTGGTCTGCTGTTGGGAGTCTGTATAATATTATTTATTTCAGTCAGTGTATGCTTAATTTCTAGTTGGTCCTTTATCACAACATCAAGGGTCTCATTAGATTTCTTGAGGATCTCACTATATTTATCAGCAGTCTCACCAGTCTTTTCGAGGGCCTTACTAAATTTATTGGTAGCTTCTAGACAGTTCTTGAAACACCTTAAAAGTGTGGTTTTGAACTCTATATCCAGCAGTTTGCGTTCCTCCATTTCTGTCATTTGTGTCCTGTTTCTTTATCTCCACATTTTTTGTGCTTTCTTGGTGCACCCCCTTGTGGTCTTTGTGCACAGTCTTGTTGTAGTTAAGCCTTGATTGTTGTAGGTAACACTGGGGGGGATTTGACCTCCAGGCCAATTGGCTGTGAGAATCAGCTGTGTCTGCAGTGGAAGAACTTCTGTCCTGATCTCTAGGGAGGTGCTAATCTAGCCTTTGCCTGAGGCTATCCAGCAAATGCCTGTGTGCAAGGCTTGGGTGGGGTGAGTCCCAGGGGATCAACAGGGTGGGCGGAGCGAGCAGTTATGGCTGCTCTCAGTCCTGCCTTCAGAGGCTCTGCTTCTCAGTGTCCCAGCAATTGCTGCAAGTACCTTGGAGAGAAAGCTGCCCTCAAGTTCCAACCGATGCCAGACAGACCTGCTTCTCCTGTTTGAGTCTGGGTCCCCAGAGACTCGCCCGGAATTGGAGCTCAGAGCCTGAGACTCCCTCCAGATTGAAAACGACAACCACGCCCTCAGCCGCCAGCCCGCTCTGCATGCACCTCCGCACCTTAGTATTTTACTTCTGCACTGCACTGCCTCTGAGTCTCGGTATGCTTTTCTCTTTCCTTCTAGTTGTAGAATTTCCACTCAGCCAGCCTTCCTGTGGTTCTGGGTGATGTCCGTTCCATCTTTTAGTTGTATTTTTGAAGTGGTTGTGCGAGGCAGCAATGTCCGGTATTTACCTATGCCGCCATCTTGGTTTCTCCCCTAAATTATATTTTTTAGGTAAACTGATTAGCTGGCATCTAGCTAAGAGGTCAAACTGAGCCTTGAGGTCCTTGAACAGGCTGACAGAAGGTAGTAAAGAAACTATTTCACTTATTTATGGATTCTCTGGAATCCTTGAACATTTAGCTGTGGGGCATACAGCAGGTTGTCTCTGTGATGTCTCAGCATCTTTAGTTAAGTCTGCCCTCCCTACACCATATCCCTTATCAGATACATTATCCCTTGCAGCAGCCTCCAAGGTTCCTTTACCAAAACTGAGGGCTCCAAGGAACACAGGTTGAGAACCATTGGCATTTTTAGTCTGTCCTTATTTTACCAAAATTGACATTAGGCGTCATCAGTGTAGGGCATTTATCTGTTTACTTTTTATTTTTTAACCTTATTATTTATTTTTATTTTTAAAAAATTGTTTTGTTTTTATTTATTGCTGTGTCTTAGGTCTTCAACCAGCTCTCTAAAACAGAGTAAGTGCTCAATAACTATCTGTTCAATTAATGTAGGATTCAAAACAAAAAGTAGGATTCAATTTTATCTATCTCATGAAATAACCATCTCATTTCTGTTTCACACTGAAGAGTCCTTAACAGGAAGTAAAACCTGTGATGCACAGGCCATTTCTCTTCGTGGAGAGCTGCAGCCGCATTTTAATCTGATACCGTTTTAGTCTGATTTCCCCTAGCACAGAAAATTAGGCATGCCCATCAGCATCACCTGGATAGCTTTAGGAAAACACAGATTCCTGGGCCCTATCCCTAAATATTCCTACTTGGTAGGTATGCGGCAAGGCCTGGTTATTTTCAACATAGGGGGCACTCATTCATTCATGTCTCAATGCCAGGCCCTCTGGGAGACACTGGGAATATAACTGTTAGGGGGGAAACCAGTTCCTGCTCTACAGCCCTTACAGATAAACATATGGGAAGTTTAAAAAGGCCACTGGACATCAATACAGATAGTATCACCCCAAATCTTCATACAACTAAAAAATAACCAGGCAGGTCCAACATGGGAGGAGAAGAGAGGATGAAAGGGTCATGCTTGCTGGTTTTCCTTGTGTTTGTTTGTTTTTTACATTTCCAGTGAAATACTGTCAGTGGGGCTTGGTTACCATGTGAAGCTGGCCACTCTGGTCTCTGGATTTCAGGTGACTATAATCCTGTATGGCCTGGATGGAGAGAGTGAGCCCCACCACCTGTCAGACCCTGACATTCCAGTTTTTGAACGAGGAGGAGTGAATGTCTTCTTACTCTCCACCCTGTTCCCCCCGGGGGAACTGAGGAGCCTGTGGCTGTGGCATGACAACTCAGGGGATTGGCCATCCTGGTGGGTAGGGGTTGAGCAAACCACAAGAACCTACTAAGCCCTAGGCCAGGGCTGGGCACTGTGCACTTGCTGCCTTGCTGATCCTCACAGCCTCTGAAAGACACATGGAATGGATTCCTATTTCACAGATAAGGAAACTGAGGGTCAGAAAGGACCACCAGAAGATAAACAATCCAATCAAAAAATGGGCAAAGGACCTAAGTAGACACTTTCCGAAAGAGGACATACAAAAGGCCAAGGGAAATATGAAAACATGCTCAAAGTCACTAATTATCCAAGAGATGCAAATCAAAACAACAATGAGGTATTATCTCACACCTGTCAGAATGGCTATCATCAACAAATCAACAAATGACAAGTGCTGGAGAGGATGCGGAGAAAAGGGAATATTCGTGCACTGATGGTGGGAATGCAGACTGATGCAGCCACTATGGAAGACAGTATGGAGTTTCCTCAAAAAGTTAAAAATGGAACTCCCATTTGACCCAGTAATCCCACTTCAAGGAATATATCCCAAGAAACCAGAAATACCAATCAAAAAGGATATACATGTACCCCTATGTTCATAGCAGCACAATTTACCATAGCTAAGATTTGGAAACAACCTAAGTGCCCATCAGCAGATGAATGGATTAGAAAACTGTGGTACATCTACACAATGGAATACTATGCTACTGTAAAAAAGAAGGAATTCTTACCATTTGCAACAGCATGGATGGAACTGGAAAGCATTATGCTAAGTGAAATAAGCCAGTCAATGAAAGAAAAATACCACATGATCTCACTCATTTATGGCTAATAAAGACCATTATAAACTGATGAACAAAAGTAGATACAGAGGCAGAGCAGCATCAAACAGACTGTCAAACTACAGCGGGAAGGCCGGGGAGGGTTGCGGGGGTGGGGGTGAGGAGGGTAAGAGATCAACCAAAGGACTTGTATGCATGCATATAAGCATAACCAATGGACACAGACACTGGGGGGTAGGGGAGACCAGGGGGATGTCAAGGGGCGGGGGGGAAGGAGACAAATGTAATACTCTTTGTAATACTTTAAGCAATAAAACAAAATTTAAAATAAATAAATTTTAAAAAACACATATATAATTACATATTTTTTGTGATTAATCACTATGCTTTAATTATGTTCAATTTGTAACAATGAAAATATATCCTGCATATCAGATATTTACATTACGATTCATAACAATAGCAAAATTACAGTTATGAAGTAGCAACAAAAATAATTTTATGGTTGGGGGTCACCACAACATGAGGAACTGTATTAAAGGGTCACGGCATTAGGAAGGTTGAGAACCACTGGCCTAGACAAAAGGTAATTCTGCCCTGTTTTAACATTCCAAAGGATAGAGGAGTAGAATGTGCAAGGCAGTTCCTCTGGGATGGTAACTCTGACTCAATTTTGAAGTGGTTCTGCTGATATTATTTTTACAATATGTATACTGGGTAGAATATAGAATAGCCCTTTGAAGTGGGTACAAGATATAGAAGAGAAAATTGAGTGTCTAAGAAGTCAGGGAGCTTGGCTAAGGTCAACAAGCTTGGCCAAGGTCACTCAGCTAATGGGGTGGAGTTGGATTTGAACTTGAACCCCAGTGGGTGGTGTCACCCTGACTATATCCACTTTCTATTACAGTTCCCTGAGATCAAGCAAGCCCCTTCGCGGCCTGCCCTGGTGGTGTGTCCTGGTGGGCTGGCTCCTGATAGCCGCCACCAGCAGTGTGGCAGCCACCAGCGGTGTGGCAACCTTCCTCACCATGCTATATGGTTTGCACTACGGGAAGACCAGCTCCCTCAAGTGGCTCATCTCCATGGCTGTCTCCTTTGTAGCGAGTGTGTTTGCCACCCAGCCCCTGAAGGTCAGGACCCCTTACTTTCTCTCCTGCCAGCTGCCGTGTTCTAACTTCAGCTGTTCCTTCATCTATTTGTTCAACAAAACTTCATGGAACACCACCTCTGTGCAGGTCCCAGGGCAGGAACAATAATGAAGATGAGTACCATGATGACCCAAGTTTTTGGCCACCCACTCTGGGCCAGGCTTAGTGGTTTACTGAGATGCTGGCATTTCATCATCACAATCACCCTCAGGAAGGACATTGCCTCCATTTTATAGATGAGAAAACCTGAAGTTAGAAGTTAAGGTCAGCCTTAGCTGGTTTGGCTCAGTGGATAGAGCATCGGCCTTCAGACCAAAGGGTCCCAGGTTTGATTCTAGTCAAGAGCATGTACCTTGGTTGCAGGCTCCTCCCTGGCCCAGACCCTGGTCAGGGCTCATGCAGGAGGCAACCAATTGATGTGTTTCTCTCACATCGATGTTTCTCTGTCTTTCCCTCTCTTCCACTCACCCTAAAAATCAATGGAAAATATCCTTGGGTGAGGATTAACAAAAAGAAAAACAAAATATCATAGAAAGGATATTTTTTTTAAAAAGAAGAAGGTAAGGTCATCCAGCCAGTGAGGCTCAATGGTTAAGTGTAAACCTATGAATCAAGAGGTCATGGTTTGATTCCCAGTCAGGGCACATGCCTAGGTTGTGGGCGCAATCTCCAGTAGGCAGGGTAAAGGAGGCAGTCGATCAATGATTCTCTCTCATTGAAGTTTCTATCTTTCCCTCTCCTTTCCTCTCTCTGAAATCATAAAAGCACTAGAAAAGAAGAAGTAGTAGTAGTAGTAGTAGTTAAGGTCATAAGCATCCTGCCCTAGACTACATATATAAATAGGAATAACACCAAATTTCCTCAATTCTAAGATGCTTTTACTTGTAAAACAGGCCAGCAATTTACAGGAATTTGACCTTCAGATAAAAAACCCAAGTCAACTATTAGAAGATGCAATCCTATTTCTGAAATGTAAAGTTACTGTCAGAGTAGACGAAATATTGAGCCCTGGCCTGGAGTTCGAGGTCACAGCTTTCCCTGGAAAAAAATCAGGTGGTAGGAGTACTGTGTGTGTGGGGGGGGGGGGGGGGGGGTTAGGGGAAGCTAAAGAAAGGAGGAGGCATTTTCAGTGAGTCTTTACGCCTGTGAGACTCACCAAATCCCCTACCCCATTACCTCCCCTTGGCCCTCTGCCTTGTCATCAACAGCCTTTGTCAGAAGATTTCAACAGTTCCTGACACCTCCCCCAACCTAGTCTGAGAATTTTAAGAACAGAGTCCTGGGCCTTTCTGTTTCTAATCAAACCACACAATCCTATTATACTGTGTACTGTTGGGGAGGAATAAACTTTCCTCTACCCTCAAGGTGCTTTCAGCTGGTCTAAGAGTTAAATCTACGTGAGACAGATTAATAAGAGGAAATAACCAAATTTAATACACACATATGAATGGGAACCTGATATACATGAAGGAGTCAGAGAACCCACATACATGAGAGGTTCAAAGACAGAGAGGGAAAATGAGATATTTATGACACTCTGAGCTAAGAATCACCTTGGGGCTTCAGAGGGGAGGAAGGTCATTGCAGGATGATACAGCAGGTGTTCAGCAATTAGTTTACCTTGCCCTACAAATAGGTCCTAAAAACTGTAATAACTCTTACTATAGGCAAGGCCCCCAATTTAAATTAAGAGAGAGGTAAAAATTGCTCATGAGCTTGCAGGGCCTTGATTCCCTCAACTCAAAACAATTCACATGCCAAAAAAACTTATTGGAGAGGCCTGTTCTGAATCCTTACATCAGAGATAGTATAAAGGCTAACCACTTAATACAAGAAGAAAGGGAGGAGGGAAGCTTAACTCACCACACTGGAGTATAAGCCAGGTGCATGTAAGCCCTGGCCCTCACCCTTCATAAACATGTGCCCTCTCTATAGAGGATGGGCTAGTTCCTACCTGACTTCCCCAGAGTATGGCTCCTGGGACAAGGATATAAAAGTGGCCCCAGTCCCACCCTCTCTCAGACCAGTAGTTGATAGTTTCCAACTTGGGCTTGGGGTTCACCATGCGTATTTTCCAGGTGCTGGGGTTTGCTGCCTTCTTTGCACTGGTCTTAAAGAGCGTGGAGGATGAAGAGGAACCTATGGCCTCTCTCCCAGGATATCTATCCAGCCCAGGTAATGGTGCAGGCAGGGGTCTGGAATCTGATAAAGCTGAGAAAGCCCTAGAGAGCCCAAGCACTGAGTGAGTGGTCCAGGCCTCAGATCTTTGCTCCCCATCTGCTCTTCTCCCCTGACTGGTGAAACATCCCCAAACCATCCAGAATAAGTGACTCCATTGTTGCTTGAGCAATCTTATTCCTTCTCTACTGGGCCTTTCTATCTGACACCTAAGCATGACTCCTTGGCCATTAGAGGCACACATGGGGCCGTGCTCTGTGCTATCATTCTCTGTGTAATCTCAATCAAGCAGCTTTCTTCTCCAAGGCTCAGCTCCCTGGTCTTTAGAATGGAAAAAAACACACACACACATACACAAAAGCATGTGGGTGGGCTGCGAAGATTGCTATAAGTTAGAATTCTAGAAAAAGGATCTGCAAACCATAGCCAGGGGCCCGAATCTAGCCCAACCCCTATTTTTGTAGTTTTACTAGAACATAGTCAAGATGAGCCCTGTTGGAGGAGCCCCATGACCAGACCCCTTCCCCCAACCTGATTTCTTACTTCCCAATAGAAACTCCTGAGGGTGCTGACAATAAGAGAATTACAAAAGCAAACAAGCAAACAGAACAGAATCAACACTCTTATAGTCTATGCAGTTCTCTGGAGCTTCAGGGAAAATAAAACAGGAACTAACAAAAGCCCATGTATCTACATCATTATGCAGTGTAGTTTTTACCCACACGGGCCTGTATTCTTCCATTCTAAATTAGGGTTTTGGCTTTGCAAATCCAAAGGTCCATTAAAATCTTCTTCCTAAGACAAGAGTAATTTTTCTCCAAGGAGAGGCCACCCTCCAGACTAATTAAATATTCATTAAGTCATTCCTTTGGCAATTATTCAGGGAGTACTTGCTGTGTGCCAGACAGTGTGATGGTCTGGGAACATAATTTATATGAAATCTACTTGTAATGTATAATTCATTGATTTTAGTAATTTATAGAGTTGTGCAACCATCATCACAATTAAGATTTGGAAAAGCTTCATCACCCCAGATTACCTCTTGCCCATTTGAAGTCAATCTCTACTCCCACCCCAGCCCCAGGCAACACAGCATTGACAAGATGGAACAGGTTGCTGCCCTCACAATGAACAGCCCATGTGGGAGACACATTAAATAATTAAATGCACAAGTAGACATATAAGTGTGAATTGTGATGAGAACTAGGTGTGGGAGAAGAAGAGAGAGCAGGCCTCTCTGCTGAGGTGGTACCTAAGCTGGCTCCTGGAAGATGGGGGCCAGGAGGGATTATACACTGGAAATGTGCAAAGGCCCTGAGGTGATATGCAGCTTGTCATTTTACAGCAATTATTGACAGTGTGGGCGAATCATTTGGGATTGGGGTGGAGGGGAATGGTTCAAGATGAGGGCAGAGAGGTGAGTGGGGAGCAGGTCACTCAAGGGCCTTGTAGGATCTGGGTCAATGTTAGGGTTTCAAAGTGTTTTAAATAGGAGAGCAGCATGGCCTATTCGTGATTTTAGAAAGATTACTGTGGCTACTCTTGGAGAACAGAGGTATTATGTTAAAAGTGGAAGTGGGGAGGCCAGAAGGATGAACATCAAAATGGTCCAGACAAGAGATGACATGTGCTGGCAGTGAGGGTGAACAGAAGGGAATAGATTAAACAAAAAAAATAGTTGGTCTAATACACCCCTACCAGAATGGCTAATGTGAAAAAAAGTGGTATCACCAAAGGCTGACAAGGATGAAGAGAAACTGGAGCATTCATGCATTGCTGGTGGTAACATAAAATGGTATAGCCACTCTGGAAAACAGTTTGGCAGTTCCTTTAAAATCTAAAAACAGACTTACCATATGCTCCAGCAATTGGACTCTTAGGCATTTATCCAAGAAAAACAAAGACTTATATTCACATAGGAACCTGTGGCCAAATGTTCATAGCAGCTTTGCTTCATTTGAAATAGCCAAAAGGTATTTGGCCACTCCAAAGAATCTACCCAAGAGAAATAAAAATATATGTCCACACAAACACCTGTACTTGAATGTTCATAGCAGCATTATTCATATTAGCCAAAACTAGAAACAATCTAAATATCCATCAATGGGTGAATGGAAAAACAAAGGTAGTATATCCATACAATGGAATACTACTCAACAATAAAAATAAACTAACTGCTAATATATACAACAACATGGATGAACTCCAAAAATTGAAAGATGCCAGATACAAGAAACTAGGTACATATGATTACATTTATATGAAATATCTTGAAAAGGAAAAGCTTATAGAGGCAGAAAGCAAATTAATGGGGCTCAGGGTGGAAATAGAGTGAAAGTGGGAACTGACTTCAATGGGACATGAGGGAACCTTCTGGGGGTGATGAAAATGTTCTAAAATTGGATTGTTTTAAATTTACTAAAATCACTGAATTGTAGACTTCCAATGGGTGGATTTATGAAAATTATATCTAAATAATGTGGTCTGAAAAAGAAGATGCTGGAATTAGACATGACAGGACTTTGAAATACTAGTTACCCTCATTCTTCCATTCTTCAAAGTTTTGAAAGTGATGGGATCCATCTTAGAATCCAGGAATGCAAGGAAGATGGCATCCAGGAGTAAGTAACCCTTCAGGGAGGGGAAGGCATTCATTTTTAGTACCAGGAGCATTCCCCACATGAAGAAAAAGGGATGGAGTTCTGGGCACTGGAATAGTATGGCAGAGCATGGAGGGCAGTGTTGGGTCCCACAAAGGAGGAACTGTGAATCCTAGCTGTACCTGGTTGCAAATGTAAAGCCTGATTCGACTGCCCATGGGGGAACTGTCCTTGTGTTCTGCTTTCACAGACCCCTCCACCTTGTTCTGAGTACGAAGAAAAAGCAGAAAGGATGTCTACCAGCTGCCTCTGACTGCCAACATTGAGAAGAAGAAAACCACTCACCTCAAGGAACAGAAAGCATTTGCCCTAACCAGAGAAATCTTGGGTAGGCAGCCAAGATTACCCATGAGCAATCTTCCCACTTGGCTGGTTCTCAACACAGACTTGAAAAGAAACTGTGCAACCTCAGATGAGCCCCACACTGCATCTTGGACATTTTCCCAAGATATTAGCTCACTCCAGCTTCTGCCCAACACTTAAATTCTTTCAATGGCCCTTCAGATCAAATTCCCCACTGTGGCTCCATCCACCGCAGGTCACTTCTCTCGGCCCCTTGTGCCCTGAGCTCCAGTGACACAGGATTCTACAGCTTCTGGGATGCTGTGCCCACTCCCGACCCCAGGCCTTTGCCCAGGCTGTTCCATCTAGTCTGCTAGAATGTGCTTATCCCTCCTCCCTACATTTTCTTATCGCTAAGTCCTCTTATTCTTTCATTCTCAGCCCAAAGACTATTATATCTTCAGGCAGGCTTCCTCTGACCAAAAGCTTTAAAGCCTATGTATATCTTAGACTGGGTTCCCCACAAGCAGATTTGGGTACATATGGTTGGTTTGGGAGGTGATTATGGGGAACATTGGTAGGGAAGGGGAAAGTGCAGGGGGAGAGAAGAAAGCCAGTGGCAAGTGGGGTGATGAGTGGTTTCCATGTGGACAACTGGGGCTCAGTCCTGCTGGGGACCTCAGTGGGAGCATGTAGTACACACCCCCAAGTTGTAACCCACTAGGTCACTGGTGAAGGCTGCTCCTGAGGAGAACATAGGCCTTGCAGCGCTCCTGGCCTGCCTTCCCACTGGCTGATCATGATCCTGGCCAAAGCAGAGAGCAGGGAGGCTTGTGCAGGAGGAGTAGCATGTGCAGAATGAAGAGTTCCAAGGGTGTGTGGGCAAAAGCCCTGAGAAGTCATCGCAGGAAGAGGTTTCCATGATGCAGATTCCCAGGCCCTGACCCCAAGATTCTGATTCAGTAATGCTCCTCATTCCCCACATGATTCTGATATCTGACCTCCTAAACTAAATCTTTGTACCTTCTTTGGCCCTTACATCACACTCACCAGTCTCCTACAAGACAGGTGAGCTCCATGAGGGCAAGGAACACATCTGTCATCTTCACCACTCTCTCCCCAGCATTACAACATGGCAGATGCCCCATTTTTAAAAAATTCTATTTAGGAAACACTTATATAACATGAATTAGAGCAGGCACTATTTTAAGTGCTTCATAAATATTAATTTCTTGACTTCTTTATCACAACCCTGTATAATATAGTTATTATCCCCATTTCATAGATGAGGAAAGTAAGGCACAGAGGGTTAAATCACTTGGAAAGGGCATATAGATAGAAAGTGACAGAGCCAGGATTTGAACCTAGCAGAAGATTCATGATCTGTGAACTCTCTTTCTGTTGTCTCTATAAAAATCAGTTCCGTGTCACCAGAGAGGTGAATAATTGGTCTACAAAACCTCAATAGTTCTGATCCCATTTGCCATTCTGTTTCCTTCCTGGGCTTGATGGGAGTGGGGACTCTGCCTGACCAGGGGCTGTGCTTCCTTTCCCAGCATACCTGGGCTTCCTGTGGATGCTGGTGGCCTATGGACAGAGGGACCCCAGTGCCTACCACTTCAACAGACACCTTAAGCATAGCTTCACCCAAGGCTTTTCAGCTGTCCTGGGCTTCCAGGAGTTCTTCATGTGGGCCAACACCACCCTTGTACAAAACCTGTATAGTCATCACCCAGGTATGGTCCCCTTGCCCCAGGACCTGTGTCAGCCACCTGGTGTACTGTTCTTTCTAGGAACAAGTGTGGGTCTCTGTCAACAACAGCCTTAGGACCATATGCTTTAAAGGAGAAACACTCGGAAGACTGTGTGTAAACAGAGAAGGGCCCTAACCCTCTCCTGATGCAGGGTGGAGAACTTCCTAAATGAGAAGTAACTGAGCATGAATCTGCTAGGTGGAAATGGTGTCCCGGGCAGAAGGAACATGAGAAAATATGAGGCATGGCACATTCTCAGAACTACAACGTGTTGTTTGGCTGCAGTGTGGGGTAGGAGTTGAGTAGCAGTGAGAAGCAAAGCAGAAGAGAGAAACGGGGGCCAGATCAGGAAAGGTCTCGAAGTTCATATTTTATGCTCAAGGAAATGAGAAGCATTGATGGTTTCTACCTGAAGGAGTAACATAATCAAACTTGTAGTATAATCAAACTTCCAGAAGGATCACTCTGGAAATGTGGAATTTGGAGTACAGGGTGGGTAAGTTAGTATGCTGGGGAGAAATAATACAGCTGATGCAAGGCTAAGGGACAGGAGAGATGGGGAGACAAGGATGAATGAAGACAACAATGAAGAGGTAGAATTGATGGCCTTGTTGACCATTAGGATGAGGGTGTTGAGGGAAAAGGTACAGATGGTCTCCAGATTGATGAATAGGTGGTGAGGGTGCCATTCCCTAAAATTAGGCAGGAAGTAGACCATGTCCTGGGTGGGGAGATGGTGGAGCCTGTGATTAGCCATGAACTTCTCTTGGCTGTCTCCACAATGGGTACACTGAAACTTACATTAGCATCCAGGCCAGGAAGCTTGGAATGTGCTAAGATAATTTTGCTTACTTGATTTACTCATTTGCTTACTTAATTAACTTATTATCGATCTTCAGGTTTCATCACTGACGGGAACTCCAAACTGGTTGGCAGTGCTCAGATTTGCCAAGTGAGAGTCTGGGAAAACTCTTGCCCTCTTGCTCCCAGGTTGTGGATTTCTCTTGATGGGTGCCATGCACCATATTCCCTGGATGTTGAAGACCTGTCAGACTATGGGGAACGCTGGAATGCCTCCAACCTCAATAGCAGCAATGGCTTCTCCCAGGCTTGGCAGTACCAGAGCCAGAGCCAGCGCCAAGGGTATCCCATCTGGGGCAAACTCACTGTGTACCGGGGAGGAGGTTACGTGCTCCCCTTGGGCACCAATCGCCAAAGTGCAGCAAGGTAAGGCTAACTTGATCCATGTGGAGCTGAGGAAAGACATTTGCTGGAGTCCAGCTCTGAGTGTCTTGTGCAGGCTTCAAAACAGAGCTGAGCCAACGTCATTTATGTCATTGTGGGGGATTCAGAATCATTCAGGTCATATTTTTCAGGACCCTGGAAACTGCAATCTCGGAGTTGGAAGGGAAGTGCCCCTTCAGCATTCTCAGCCTGGTGACCTCAGTCTAATGCAGGGATGGACAGCTCACACTTACACAGAACTGTCCACCAGGCAAGTGAGAAGTGGTTAAGGCTTAACCTTACAAAGAATCATACAGGGTCTATATGCTACTGTTTCATGGATGTTGGCAGAAGACATGAGACTCCTGAGTTAGAGACAAAGGACTTTATTACAGCAAAAGCTTGTAGCAGAGCTTCGTGGTAGTTTGAGTCAGTTCCCTGCCAAGGGCCATGGTGGATATTTACATATGCAGTGAGTTGCAGGACCAAAGAGAAACAGTGAGCTTGGAAGTGTTCACAGTTTTCACAGTGGCAGAAGCCTGCTGTTTGTCCAAACAAAAATGCCACCTCATCCCTCAAGGTTGTCCACTGCAAACACAGCCCTGAGAAATGGCCTGGGTGAAGCTTAGCCAGGACCTAGCATTTCTGGAACACCCAGCACAGGGACGGTCAGGGCCCATGCAGACTGCCTCTCCCAGTGCATTCTAGAGTCAGAGAGCCCTGGATTGAAACCCTGGCACTGCTCCTATTAGCTGTGTAGCCCCAGTCTCTGACTCTGTATTATTACAACACTGAGGTTGTTTATGATGGCAGGGCCCCCATCCTGCCTACAACACAGGTAACAAACCCCTAAGAGAATAACTGGCAGGAGTCCTCTGAGATTAAGGACAGGCCCAAAATAGTCTATTTCTGATTGAGGTCTTTTCCTACACTTGGAATAACTGATACTCTCTCCCTGCTTCAATGTACCAAGCAAGATGCAGACACACAGGAACAGGGCACATTTTAAAACAGTCCCATCATTATTGTTCTAAGTAATAAAAGCTATCATTACTTTGCACACATACACACACCCATTCCATTTTCTGTGCACAATGATCCTGACGCTGGTGTTAACACCATTGTACAGTAGATGAGGAAACTGAGGCCTAGAGACGTTATTAACTTGCCACAGGGAAGTTAGGATTTGAGGTCCCTCCAGCACATGCCCTTTCCACCACATGAGCAGGCAGATCTCTAGGAACTAATCTCATGGGAGTTGCCAGCCCAAGATGAACATCGGCAGCTGTAGGTGCTCCTGCCTAAGCCCCTGATGTCTTATGTGGCTCCTCTAACACCACGGTCCTCATACTTTACAAAGCATCATAATCCCCTAAAGGGCTCATCAAAGCACAGATCCTCAGGCCCCATCCCTCACGTTTCTGATTCCTGAGGTCTCGGTGGGGGTTGAGAATCTGCATTTCTAACAAGTCTCCAAATGATGACAATGCCAATGCTGCCAGTCTGGGGACTCCACTTTGAGAACCTCTGCTGTAACAGTTAGGAAACACTGGTGCCAACACATTACACTATGGAATGGGAAACTGGGACCACTCCCAGGAGCAGCCCTAAGGCCTGGTGGCCCAGGGAGCAAAACAGAGGCAGAGGGAGTAGTTTCAACAGAAAGCCCTGGCCTCCTCCCCAGGGCTGAGGGGACAGGGAGCCACTTAGGGAACAGATGCTCCTAAATGCCCCTCTTCCCGCAGAATTCTCCAGTATCTCTTTGACAACACCTGGCTGGACAGCCTGACCAGAGCTGTGTTTGTGGAGTTCACTGTCTACAACGCCAACGTCAACCTGTTCTGCATCATCACTCTGACCCTGGAGACCAGCGCCCTGGGTAGGCATTTGCCTGTGAACCCATCTGCAGTGTTCCAGAAGATAAACCCTCCCCTCCCTCTGGGCTAGGGCCCAGCCCCTCATTGCCAGAGCTCCAGGGCAAATGGTGGTCTGGGAAATTCAGGGGTGGTTCTTGGTTCTCCCTGGGCACCAAAGGCAAGGCTTTAGGGTTGCTCCATCCTTATTCCTAGCTGCCCCACACCCCCCTCTTTGGCCTTGTCTCTCAAGTTATCCTAAGAGAACTAGTTGGGGTTTGAAAGCAGTTCATACCCCTGAGCTTCCCACTCTGGTGGTGGTGGGGGGCTGGCAGTGAGGGGCAAGAAGGGGGTGATCTGGTAACAGATACCTTCACCTTAAACAATATTTTACTTGTACCTCAATCTACAGTGTGAAATACATTTTACATCATAATCCAACACACACAAATATACACAACTGATATAACAGCTTCAAAAATATTTCCCTTAACTACGTGATACACTGATATTTTGCATTCTGTTCCGCTTTCTATTCTAGTTCTTTCTCCCCATCCCCCCACCTTTTACCATCTTTTAATGCTAATCACAATTTTTTGAAAACATTGACCTAAGGTCTCTTCAGCTAATAATCAATTTGTCTAAATGTCAACCACCTTTCTTTTGATAAGGAAACATTTTTAAAACATGTATTACTTTTATAAAACACTGTAATGTTTGTAGATTTTTAAAATTTTCAGAACTTTGAAAACACCTTCCATTATCATTATCATATCAATTTCCATTACCATTCCCCATTGTCAAAAATTTATTTCAAATCCTTATTTCGAGTTTATTTGTATCTCTTTTATTTTCCCATTTATTTTTGTCATCTTTTTGGCTTTTAAAAAAAATATGTTTTTATTGAATTTAGAGAGAGAAAGGGGGAGAGGGGGAGAGAGAGAAACATTGATGGATGAGAGAGAACCATCGATCAATCGATGGTCTGCCTTCTGCACACCTCTACCAAGGATGGAGACTGCATGTGTCCTGATCAAACCAGTGACCTCCCAGGGCATGGAACCATGCCCAACCAAATTTGCCACATTGGCCAGGGCCATCTTTTTGGCTTTTTCAGGACCTCTAAACAACTTACACCTGATTCAATTATGTATCTCTACAAATAGAAAGTGTGAGATAGATGTCAGATTTGATTGATGCAACAGGCCACTGATGTCAGTAAGGACTCAGGCTGTTTGCATCTTTCCATCTGCCATTCTTTGGGTTGGCTTTGCTTTTAAAAAAAAAAAAAAAATCCTTACCCCAGGACATGTTTATTGACTTTTAGAGAGAGGGGAAGAGAAAGAGAGAGAGAGAGAGAGAGAGAGAGAGAGAGAGAGAGAGGCTTCAATGTGAAAGAGAAGCATCAATTAGTTGCCCAATCAGGCTAGGGATCGAACCTGAAATCAGCTATGTGCCCTTGTGCCCTGACCAGGAATCAAACCCATGACCTTTCAGTGTACGGGACGATGCTCCTATAGGCTCCTATAAACCCAGCCAGGGTGGCTCCTGGCCACCCAGCCAGGGCTTGGCTTTGTTTTTGTAGGCAGTAGCCTTATTAATCAACTTAGTTTTTAAAAAATAATTTCAATACAAAAAAAAGAGGGGAAAACACAAATAGATAAAGGATGATTCGGAAGAGGGTTGAAGTTTAGGCATATTGGTCAATAGACGAATGGATTCTTGGTGAACTGTATTTATTTATTTATTTATTTATTTTTTAATATATTTTTATTGATTAAGATATTACATATGTGTCCTTGTCCCCACGTTACCCTCTACCCCCCCCCCCCCGCTCATGCCCTCACCCCCCCCCGCCCCCCCGTTGTCCGTGTCCATTGGTTAGGCCTATATGCCTGCATGTAAGTCCTTTGGTTGATCTTTCCCCCTTACCCCCACCCTCCCCTACCCTCCCTCCAAAGCCCGACAGTCCAATCAATGCCTCTCCGTCTCTGGATCAGTCCTTGTTCATCAGTTTATGTTGTTCATTATATTCCACAAATGAGTGAGATCATGTGGTATTTATCCGCTCTCCAGTTCCATCCATGCTGTGGCAAATGGTAAGAGTTCCTTTTTCTTCTTCCTCTTCTTAAAGAATACCTTTCAGCATTTCATATAATGCTGGTTTGGTGGTGATGAATTCCTTTAGCTTTTTCTTATCCGTGAAGCTCTTTCTCTGACCTTCTATTCTGAATGATAGCTTTGCTGGATAAAGTAATCTTGGTTGCAGGTTCATGCTATTCATCACTTTGAATATTTCTTGCCATTCCCTTCTGGCCTGCATGGTTTCTGTTGAGAAATCAGCTGACAGTCGTATGGGTACTCCCTTGTAGGTAACTGACTGTCTTTCTCTTGCTGCTTTTAAGATTCTCTCTTTGTCTTTTGCTCTTGGCATTTTAATTATGATGTGTCTTGGTGTGGTCCTCTTTGGATTCCTTTTGTTTGGGGTTCTCTGTGCTTCCTGGACTTGTAAGTCTATTTCTTTCACCAGGTGGGGGAAGTTTTCTGTCATTATTTCTTCAAATAGGTTTTCAATATCTTGCCCTCTCTCTTCTTCTGGTACCCCTATAATTCTGATGTTGGTACGCTTGAAGTTGTCCCAGAGGCTCCTTACACTATCTTCATATTTTTGGAATCTCTTTTCTTTTTTCTTTTTCAGTTGGGTATTTTTTGTTTCTTTGTATTTCAAATCTTTGACTTGATTTTTGGGATCCTCTTGTCTGCTGTTGGATCTCCGTAGATTATTCTTTATTTCAGTCAGTGTATGCTTAATTTCTAGTTGGTCCTTTTTCATGTCCTCCATGGTCTCACTATACTTATTGAGGGACTCATTAAATTTATCGGCGGTTTCCATAAAATTCTTGAAAAACCTTATAAACGTGGCCTTGAACTCTATATCCAGTCGTTTGCTTTCCTCCATTTCTGCCATTTGTGACCTGTTTCTTTGTCTCCGCATTTTGGCTGCTTCCCTGTGTTGATAGAGTGGCTTTGTGTGCTAGGTGTCCTGTAGGGCCCAGTGGCTCAGCCTCCCCAGTTACCTGAGGTGGACACTCTTGGTGCACCCCCTCGTGGGCTTTGTGCACAGTCTTGTTGTAGCTATGCCTTGGTTGTTGTAGGATCACTGGGAGGAATTGACCTCCAGGGCAATTGGCAGCGAGAATCAGCTGTGTCTGCAGTGGGAGAACTTCTTTGCTGGAGACACCCTTCTGGGGCAAGACTTGCTTCAGTGGGGCTTTGGTGCTCACTGAGACTGCACCCTGAGTGTGTCCCTTATGGATCTGAGGAGTTGTGATCTGGGTGGTTCCCCTCTGACCACTGGGTACAGTGGCTCTTGGATCTAAGGAGGTGCTAATTTAGCCTCTGCCTGAGGTTACACAGCAGGAACTATGAAGAGAACTGCAGATTCCCCTTCCTTTTTTTTGGAGTTTGGAAGTGCCCTGATGATGCTCAGCTGTGTAGCAATGCAAGCCGCTGTGGGGCCTTGGGCCTTCTCTTGGAAGCTCTGGGTCTATCTGGCCCGGCTGCGGTTAGGTAATTACAGGTTGCAAATGGCCGGGGCATTCATATGCAAAAGCCTCTGCCGCAGCCTGGGTGGGGCGGGGTCTCAAGAAATCAAAGGGCGGAGAAAGCAGCTATGGCGGAGCCTCAGCCCCGCCCTAAGGAGTCGCGAGTCCCAGTGTCCCGGCAATGGCTGCAAGCACCTCTGAGGGAAAGCCGCTCTCAAGCTCGCCCGCTGCCAGACAGTCCAGTATCTCCCCGTATGAGTCCTGGGTCCCCAGAGACTTCCCGGAACCAGATTTCAGAGCCGTCGGGAGCTTGTGTCTCCCTCCGGATTCAAAAAGACAGCCGCGTCCTCAGGTGCCAGCCCCTTTCCGCACGCACGAGCCTCCGTACCTCTGCACTCCACCTCCGCAGCTCCTCCCACTCGCAGTGTGCTTTTCTTTCCTTCTAGTTGTAGAATTTACACTCAGCCAGCCCTCCTGTAGTTCTGGATGATGTCCACCTTGTGTTTTTTATGCATTTATCGATTGTTGTGGGAAGCAGCAATTTCCCGGTGTTTATCTATGCCGCCATCTTAGTTTCTCTCCGGTGAACTGTATTTAGATGAAATGTCTTTAAATGGGCCACTGTGAAGTAAACTGATGCTAAGTGGGTAGGTATGCTTTGGCTGAAGATGACTGAGTGCACACACAGCAAGCACCAAATGCAGAGGGGAAGGAGGAAGGTCTTCCACTGCAGCTACCTTTGTCCCTTCTGATCTGCCCATTATCTTTGACATCAGTAATTGTCCCCATTCAGTCTCTTGGGTTTGTGGGTCTGAAGGACGTCTATCTTCTCTTTTGCCCCCAGCCAGCCTCCAGAAAGGCTTGATTTTGAGTCATCCCGCTGATGACTTCTGGTTAGAAACGATGGCTCTGATTGGGAGCAGAGGGTGGGAGTGGGGGCAGTTGGGGGGTGGTGGTGGTGAAAGAAATGCACTCTGCTTCCCAAGAACCTTCTTTACATGCACAGACCTGCAGAGCCTGCGCCTGTATCCCTTCATTGATGGCTGGCACCCCTTTGTGGTGGCGGCAGAGGTAATCTACCTCCTGCTCCTCCTCTACTACATGGTCATGCAGGTGAAGGTGGACTTGTAGCTCTATGTGCAAGGGAAGGAGATGGTGGTGTGCCCGTTCCCTCTCCCATCCTTACCCTCTTCCCTGGAGTGGGGTCTGAAAGAGGGGGAGGAAAAGGTTCTGTTTACCTGTTTGTCTAGGCAACCTTTGGGGGGCCCTTCTGCTGGTCCTGAGGGCTGAACTACTTCAGGAACCCAACTTTGGCACCTCAGAGGAATTAAGAACTCAGAGGGTGGTCCTTCCTCGGTAAGGAAGGAATTGGAGCAAGGCTCCCATTTCTGCTGAACTGAGACTTTCCAAAATGCTGGAGGTGAATATTCTCCATAGCTGGGGTTTCTCTGAACTCATATTGTGGGGGTTCTTAGCACTTTTGTTCTCACGGTGATCCCTGAGAATTAAGAAACATTCCCCTTGCTACCTTTACCACCATGTTGCACAATGAAGTACAGATTTTGATAATGACGATGGGAACACATCCAAAGCATATTAGATGTTGTTTTCCAAAAATGGAAACCAGATACCTAAAAGGGGCATCTTAGGTCCCCAATTCCCTGCTCCAACCACCACCACAGCAACCACTTTAAGAAATATACTTTGAGGGCTTACTAAGAGGCAGGGGTTTTGCTAAGAAACTTATAAGGATTTTCTCCTTTAACACCAGGAGAAAGGTCCTATGGATCCATTTCAGAGTAGGAAGCTAAAGTCCAGATATGAAGTAATTCATCCAAGTTCAGAATTAAATCCTGAGAGTCTGACCACAGATCTTGACACTCAACCCTTATGCCACACCATCAGTCTCAAAACTGGCAACACACATGCTCTCTGAGCATCCAATTCAAACTCATCAGTCAACAGTCATCAAATAGCAACTTATGTCTTATTGTTTCTCTAAGAACATCATAGGAGGCCCATTTAACAACTTTCTGAGCTTCATTCCTCTTCTCTCGATTGCCCCTAAGATGGTTCAGGGAACCACCTTTGGAGTAAAGACAAGCACAGTTCCGGCCACAGCCTTTGATAGAACCTCTGGTTCCTTTCCCAGGGCAAGCTTAGGAGGAAGCAGAAGTGGCGCTATTTCCACAGCAAGTGGAACCTTCTGGAGTTGGCCATCATTCTGGCCAGCTGGAGTGCCCTGGCAGTGTTTGTGAAGAGGGCCATCCTAGCGGAGAGAGACATCCAGCGATATCAGAAACAAGGGGAGGAGTAAGTGGCTCTGCCTCAGTCCCAGGTCCCACCTCTGGTTCTGCTTCCTCCAGCTCTGTGTAGCTCAGGGGGCCTTTAAAGTTGTGTTGACCCCCAGAGGATAAAGGGGCACTCTAAAAATTAGCTATAGCTATCGCTTAGATTTAGGTTTGTGGTCTGAAGACTCTAAGACAAAATAAAACAGGATCTTTTGCAAATCTTACTTAACAGAGGACCCATTGACTCTGTTAAGATCCCTCCCAGCCTGCTGAGCAGGGTTTTTTCAAGTATTTGTGTGATCAACTACATCTGCTACCATTTACCCAGTGTCCACTCTGTGCTAGGCAGGATGCCCTAACCAATCAGATCCTCATGAGAACTGATGGAGATAAATGTTATCATTACCCCATTTTATAAATAAAGAACTTGACATTCAGAGAGATAATATGACTTCCCCAAGGTCACACAGCTAAAAAGTGGCAGAGAAGTAATTTAAACCTACCTTGTATGTCTCCAGGATCCCAGTTTTTACTTTGAACCATTGCGTTTCTTGACTCACTGATTTTATAGATAGAGCTAACATTTATTGAGTTATTGTTGGATGCCATACACAGTCATAACAACACCACCTTAAAATCATCTACTTTCACCTTTCTGAAACTTCTGAGATATTATCATCGTCCCTTTTTCACAGATGAGAAAACTGAGGCTCAGAGAGGTTGAATTGTCTGTGCAAGGTCACACAGCAAGGAAACTCAAGGCCTAGAATTTGAACTCTACACTCCTAACCTCTACTCCAGAATGTCTCTCATTCAACAAACCCAAATTGAGTTCTACTTTGTGCCACACCCACGTTGCCACACCAAATATACAACAAAAACACTACCCTCTCTACAAGCCCCTGTCCATAAAAATGCCTCAGTATCAATAGAATTCTTTGAGCTCAAAAGTTATCAGAAGTACTTTTATTTTTATTTAAGTTGATTGTAAACCTTATGCAGAACAGTTATTTTAAAAACTTAAAGATGGTTTAGCTTTTGAAGGGGTCTGCAAAAGATGACACAGGAGCTAAATCCAGCCCACCACCTGTTTTTGTAAGTTATGTTTATTGGAACACTACCTCACTCATTCATTTATGTGTTATCTATGGCTGCTTTCTGCTAAACTGGGTTAAGTCACTGGGACGGAAACTGGCCCCCAGGGCCTCAAATATGTGCCACCTGGCCCTTTACATTAAAATTGTCTACTCCTGCTGAGAGAACAAAGCCTGAGTTCTAGGAAGGGACAATGGTGAGTCTGTTTTAGGTCACGCATGACTGAGATCATTGGCAGCCAGTGTGATTGTTGTACCAGCACTGTCCCCACACTAGCCATGCTTTATGATTCCTTACAATGATCTAAGCACATTCTTTTTTTGACATTCACACAAACTGGTTTCTTGATTAGATGAATTATAAAACAATTTTACAGCAAGAGAGTACTCTTTTTTACACTGAGTGTCAGAAAACAAAAGAAATCTGCCACTTTTAATAGAAACCTGAATATAGTTAAGTTTGGCATTATAGGAAACCCTCAGTTGTATTTGGATTAGTCAAATAACCAAAGTTCGTGTTTATTTCAGAAACTTGCAAATTTTGTTTTCTTGTTGAAATAGATAAACCATTTTGTAGTTAGATCCTGAATTTTAAAAGTACTTTTTAAGACCAAATTATATGCTTCATATTCATAGTCTCCCTTTAACCCAATGGTTCTCAGGCCTAGCTCCTCAGCAGAATCACTCAGGGGGATGATTCAACTCTGATGCTCAGGCCTATTAAATCGGGATGTCCGGGGACAGAGCCCCAGCACCAGTATTTTTAAGGTTTTCCTGTTTTTTCTAAAATGTAGATGAGTTTAAGCTCGCTGCCTTAATTAGAGCTAATTGCCATCATAAAAGAGGGCTTACATGGTTATTATTTCCACATATATGAACAATTAGATGACATGAGAGAAGGTTGGGTATTTTAAAAGGGGGAGGAACAAGGTGCTGCAGGAGCCGAAGGAGGAGGCCACCATCCATACAAGCCACCCCAGTCTGCTCAAAAAGGGAGGAAAGTTCTAGAAGGCAGGAGATTAGGTAGAAGAAAGACTTTCACTAGGGCATCATATATGTATATGAAATGCTTTTAAAAACTTGAGATCATATAATTTTGTTCTATAGACTGTTCCCATCTGTGTCATTAAATATAAATCTATGCCATTTTTAATGACACACCAACATTAAGACTGAATTTAGAGCCCTAACTGGTTTGGCTCAGTGGATAGAGCGTCGGCCTGCAGACTGAAGGATCCCAGGTTCAATTCCGGTCAAAGGCATGTACCTTGGTTGCGCGCACATCCTCAGTAGGGCGTGTGCAGGAGGCAGCTGGTCGATGTTTCTAACTCTCTATCCCTCTCCCTTCCTCTCTGTAAAAAAATTAATAAAATATATATTTTTTTAAAAAAGAATGAATTTAGAGGGCAAAGGCATGAGAGGGGCATGAACGGCAGGGTGGGATAGGGGAAGAACCTGGATTTTGGAATCAAGACACTCCTGGATCCCAACTGTCATTCTTCCACCACCAGTTATGCCTCTAATTATGTCACTAGCTATGTGACATTATGCCAACTCTCTGTCCTTACCTGTAAAGGGAGACAGCATACTCCCTCATCCGGTGGTTTTCAGTCAGATGACACAATGCAATTACTAGTAAAGTTCATTAGGCCCTCACTTAGCACAGCAACTGGATGGTACTTCCATCCCTCCTTCAAATGTAAGGGCAATAGGGACATTCAAACAGGAGAAAGTGGCATCTAGTGACCCCGAACCAGGAGGGGAGGTTCATAGTACTCCCTCATCTTTGTCCTCTTGACCTGGGGAGGATCCCTCCTTTGTCATTCTTCCATAGCCCTGCAGCCATTAACCAAGACTGCTAGGTAACGGCCTCACGAACTAACTGCTGAGGCCCCGTGACCATCATCACCATCACTATCCCTATCATAATTATCCTCATCATCCTCATTACCATCATCATCGCCACTGTCGTCTCTATCTCCTTCATCATCATCATTATCACCATCATCCTCAGCATCACCATCTCATCATTACCTGGCTTGGGGGATTGGGACAGCTCTGTCTCCCAGACCTGTTGTAGGAAGTGGTGGCCTTTGAGATAAGTCTAATCCTGGGCTGAAATGAGTCCAAATGAACTCTGGCTGAGCTGTATACAGTCTCTGAGACCCAATCTTCCTTCTTGGTCCCAAAGGGGTATCAGTTTCAGTGAGACAGCCACAGCTGACGCTGCCCTTGGCTACATCATTGCCTTCCTGGTACTGCTGTCCATGGCAAAACTTTGGCATCTGCTCAGGTTAAACCCCAAAATGAACATGATCACATCAGCTCTACACTGTGCCTGGGGAGACATTTCAGGCTTTGTCATCATCATCCTTATCATGCTCCTGGCTTACGCCATTGCGGTGAGAGGCTCCTTTGGGAAAACCTCAGGGCTGGTCTCCTTGGAAGCAAAGGCTTCTCAGTGCTAGGGGATTGGGAATTAGGGTAAGGGAAACCCTGGGAACCTGAGGGAGATGGTGAGTCTTCTGAACCTAGGGCCTTTTAGCTGGGAGCTCATGAACTGGTCACTCCAAATGGAGACCTCAGTTGGGTAAGAGTGAGGAGGTACAGTCTCAAGACTGAGAGGGCCAACTATCTCCAATGAAGGATTCCTTTCTGTATCCAGACCCTGCCTGGATGTGCCAGTTCTCCCAGTTGCTCAAACGTGCACAAAGCGCTCCTTCTGTGTCAGGGGATGTGGAGATGAATTGGGCAGTCCTGTTCTTGAGCTGGGGCAGAGATGGGGAAGTGAGGATGGATGTATCTGCAGGCCATGTCAATGCGTGATTCCCTACACATGAGGCATGAAGTTAGTAGGGCCAACGCCATTTTATTCAGCCCCTTAACACTGAGAGCATTTAAAAATTCACATTTCTTTTGTGACTGAAAAAAAAATTAAACTATCAACTCTTTTTCTATATCAAGAAATGTGAGAAACAAAGACCCTATAATACAGTGGTTCTCAACCTTCCTAATGCCGCGTCCCTTTAATACAGTTCCTCATGTTGTGCTGACCCCCAACCATAAAATTATTTTTGTTGTTACTTCATAACTGTAATTTTGCTACTGTTATGAATCATAATGTAAATATCTGATATGCAGGATGTATTTTCATTGTTACAAATTGAACATAATTAAAGCATAGTGATTAATCACAAAAACAATATGTAATTATATATGTGTTTTCCGATGGTCTTAGGCGACCCCTGTGAAAGGGTCATTCGACCCACAAAGGGGTTGCGACCCACAGGTTGGCGACACACAGGTTGAGAACCTCTGCTCTAATACATCCTGATCTTCATCTAAATATGCTCCCCATGCTCTCCAAGTCCATGATTCTCATCATAACCCTGGCTCCCACTCCTGACACTGTTCAATCTTGACTCACTCCTCACCCTAACCCCTTTCTGAATTATCATTCTGGTTGCATCCAGTCTCTCATGTTACACCATGCCCTGATCTCCATACCATCCAATAATCTATCTTATCCTAGTCCCCACTCATCTCTCCCTTCCCATTCCTGATTCTTTCCCTGACTATCACCTCAACCCTGACCCTCTACTCCATCCCTGACCTCACTCCATCTTCCTTTCTCACCCTCAAAAATAGGGTGAAATGCATTGATGGAGTGTATATGCCGAAAAGCTGGAGTCTGCTTTTGTCAAAAGTACCCCATCCAACCTCTTAGTTCATGTGGATTTATTCAGTCCTCCATACCCAATGCACAGACTGCAGGGAATTACAGTGTCCTCTGGGAATAAAGTCACTGACTCAGAGCCAATGGAGTGCAGGGATTCCCTCTGACACAGCCCCCTGTGGAAATCTTTGGGGTGGAGAATGTGGTGGTGAGGGAAAAGTACGGTGTGGAGAAGGTCCTGTTCAGCAGAAGAAGCCTATTGTCCATCCAACCCAGCTCCCCCTGTGCAAGAAGGATTGGGCCTCAGAGAGCCGTTTCATTACTGAATTTTAGAACAGCCATCTGAGAGAATGTCGTAGGAGCCTAGTGGGTGGTGTGTGAGCCCCAGAAGTGCACATGCATCCATGCAAAACTGGGTGTGTACTTCCACCAACTTCCATGCCTCAGTAGGTACCAGTAGCTTAGCCAGGCCAGGCCAAGGATGTGGCTAACTCAGACCACTGACTCTGTCAAACAACAGGCTTTAGGGAACTGCATGTTTTCTTTTGCTGCTCATGAGGACTCTTTCCACAACAGTCAAACTTGATATTTGGTTGGAAACTCCGCTCCTACAAAACCCTCTTTGCTGCAGCAGAAACGATGATCAGCCTTCAGGTAGGAATCTTCAACTATGAGGAGGTAATGGGGTAGGGCAAGGGAACATGGACACTGCTATCTACACCAAGCCTTTACAAAAATTAGAAAAAGCAGTCCCCTCAAATGCCTTCCCAGTGGATATCACCCCTGTATCCATGGCCTGGCGAGTGCATGGTAACTATGGACAAATAAAAAGGCTCCCCTTCCTCCAGGCAGACAGCCCCAATCCAAGGCCCACAGCTCACCCTGGGGACCCCAGCTTACAGAAGAACATCAGGTACAGGCTACTCAGGAGAGGGCTGTGCTAGGGGGTCCCTGGAAGGGAATGCTCCTGACCCTAGCCAGAAATGGTACCATATTTGGAAAAGGCAGCCGTAAGGAGTAGGGATGCTGCCCTCTCACTCTCCTGGCAGCTGTTGAGAGCACTGCCCATACTGCCAGCCTCCAAGCAAAAAGGACTCTTCTGGCTCAAGGCTCTGCCTAACTCTGAGGACCAATTTTCCTTCTGAGGGTATCTAGTGGGTGAGGTGGCCGATAGGACACAGGACTCTCAGGGATGACTCTGGATTTCTTCCTAACAGGTCCTGGACCACAGCCCAGTGCTCAGCTCCTTCCTAATTGGGTCCTGCATTGTTTTCATGACATTTATTGTGCTGAATCTACTTATCTCTGTCATCCTGGTGGCCTTCAATGAAGAGCAAAAATACTATCAGGTGAATTCCTTTGGCCTATTCTTCAATAGTCATTGACCTTGAAATAGAAAAAGGTTGGCTGAGCAGCATTAGACATTAGGGGAACTTGAGAGACCCTGAAAGACCACTGTAGCTTAAAGCCTTCATTTCATGGGAGGGGAAACTGAGGACCAGAAGAAGAAAATTACATCACTAAGATCATAAGCAAATGAAGGACACACTAGAAATGGGTCTCCTGATTCCCAGTGTGGGACTGTTCCTTACAGCGGTGATTCTCAGCTCCGATTGTACATTATAATCACCTGGGGGCTTTTGGAAACTACTACTGTTGTACCTGAGACCACTAAAAACAGAATCCCTGGGTGAATGATGCAAGCATGGGTATTTCTGAAATCTCCCTGTGTTATTTTAATGTTCAGCCAAGGTTGAGAACCCATCTATAATAATAAAAGCATAATATGCAAATTGACTGAACAGCCAAACAGCAGAACGACCATCCAGACAAACTTCCGGACAAAGCCGGCAGCCAGGGCTGCAGGGGCCGAGGCAGCCGGGATTGCAAAGGCCTACTCTTGCACAAATTTCATGCATCGGGCCTCTAGTTATAAATAATGAAAGAAAAGTTAGATAATACAAACAAACTTTAATACTTCATGAAGTGATCAGTATCCATTCAGAGAACTGCAAGGTAGGATGGGAGGCAGGAAGTTTTTATAGGATAAAGAATAAAAATAAAAAACAAGGAAGAGAAAAATGAAAAATATCGATTGGCTGGGGCCACAGAGTCAACCTGTTTGGGGTGAGAAGGAAAAAGAAATAAGTACGGATAGAGCCCAGAGTTGGGTTGGTGTTCGGGGACTGGATGACTGCAGTACTGCATTTCTGTCAAGGGGAGCATTTACCAGGACACATATGTTGTCTAAATTTCAGTTTTTTGACATGGCACCCTGGGCAGGAGCAGCTCCACCCTGGGCCTAGAAATTTATTTCAACAAGTCATATGGTGACTTTGGTTTAAATTTTGAGAAACTGCCAAACTGTTTTCCAAAGCAGTGGAACCATTTCACATTAACAAGAGCAATATATGAGAGGCTTTGTACATACATTCCTAATCACGTCTGATGAGGGGGTGGAGGAATTCTGTCATTTTCATCAGAGGGGAAGAAGGAACCCCTCCTTGGGATAAAGTGGAGAGAACACAATCTTGAGATTCCCTGAAAGAGATGAATCCCTGGATTCACAAAAGCAAGTCAAAAAGTCAAAGTGACTTTGGCAGGGACCAAGTTACACAAGAAAACCATGGTTTCCCCTTAGAAAGAAAAGCCCCCAAAGAGGATGTATCTATATATGTTGTGTGTTCTTTCTCCCTCTGCAGCTGTCGGAGGAAGGAGAGATTGTCGATTTGCTGCTGATGAACATACTCGGTTTCCGGGGCGTTAAATATAAAAAACAGGAGTCTGGAAACTGCAGTGAGCAGCCCAAGTTGCTGTCAGAGGCCCAGCCTCCTCCACCTGCACCAGTGGCACCCCGGGTTTAAGCTGTTCGTCTACACACGATCATCTGTAGAGTCAGCAGAAGGCCAGAGCATTGGGCCTACGCTTACCATTGATTCTGTAATCTCTCCAAGTCAATGTTTTCTGTGTCCATGGATAAGTTACCAAGAGTGGCATGTACAAAAGCTAATAAAAAATGTATTTACATACACATACAATTGCCACTACTGTGATATACTGTTCAAATGTATTTCCTTCTAGAAATAAAAATAGTGCGGACTTCAAGGGGGAAAAAAAAACTCTTTTATAGACTAATTATTTCATTAGTCTTTTACAGACTAATAATTATTATTTTCTTAGTCAGGGTTTGCCTTTGAATGGTTCTAGTTCAGGGTTTCTCAAACTGTGTCTGAGAGACGCTGATGGATGCCATTAGTTTGCTAGGGCAGCCGGAACAAAGTACCACAAACTGGGTATTAAAACAACAGAAGTTATTGTCTCAGAATTCTGGAGGATAGAAGCTCAAAATCAAGGTGTCAACGGGGCCACGCTCCCTCTTAAGGCTCTCCAGAGGAGTCTTCTCTTCTAGCTTCTAGCATTTGCCAGCAATGCTCAGTGTTCCTTGGTTTGTAGATGCATCACTCCAATCTCTGTCTCTGCCATCACTTGGCCTTCTCTCCTATGTCTTTCTCTCTGTGTCTTTTTCTCTTGTCATATTGGATTGAGGGCTCACTCTACTCCACTATAACTTTGTCTTAATTAATGACATCTACAACAGTTCCTATTTCCAAATTTGGTCACATTCTGAGGTAATGGGTGTTAGGACTTCAATGTATCTCTTTAGAGGGCACAAGTCAACCCATAACAGGTGTCATGACCCCAAAAATGTTTCTGGAGCAAATAAATGTGGGAAACACTGGATTATAAAAGGCTATCCAAGTTCTTTAGCATGGGAACTGTCAGAGCTTTTTTAAAATTATTATTACTTTATTTTATTTTATTTTAGTGTGTGTGTGTGTGTGTGTGTGTGTGTGTGAGAGCTTTTAATATGGTAAATGTGCATTGTGAGTCTCCTGGGGTGACATGAGCAAGAGCACCAAAGTGTGTAATGATTCCCAAACATCTTTGACGAAGGCTGCAGTTAGTGATTCTCAACCTTGGCTGTATGCTAGAATCCCTAGACTTCATCCCAATACATCAGAATCTCTGGCTGGGATCCAGGTGTCAATATTTTTTAAGCCACCCAGGTGATTCCAATGTGCAGTCAGACTTGATAACCATGCCCCTAATTCTGAGAACTACAGATCTAGATAGTAAAAGGCTTTCAGATGTCTGTGGATAAGTGCATATTTCCCCTCCCCCATGCAGGGGAAGCACCTCACACATCCTCTCCAGGTCACCCTGTCTTGTCCCTCCTCACACATCCATTGTAGCAGATACCCTAGGTTGCCTGCTCCCAATCCATTCTATGCTTTCCTCCTTGCTATCAGAATCTTTGAGACCATGGGGAACAATCTGAAGATGGCAGAGCAGAAAGATGAGAGGAGCATGCATCCCTGATGAAGTCTTTCAATAGCTGATGTAATCAAGGCTGGAGTCAAACTACTACCTTTTATCTGGACGAGAAAGCTTAAACGTCTTTTTATAATGGTTCAATCAGTATCAGACCCTGATACCCTGACAATCAAAAACCTAAAATCTATTATAAAAAGAGAGCCATATAACATGCAATATACATAAAACCTTGGTGATTTCATTATCTTCCATCCACCCAAAATCCCATGACTATTTTCTATTGTGTCAGGTATGGATACAAGCTATATATGGAGAGATGCTCATCAAATAACCCATAGCAAGGTGTACACATGTCTCCCGATAAGCCGGTACAGAAACCTACCCAGAGACACACAAAACAGTCTATTTTAAATAGGAAATCTGGAGAAGTTGTAAATTCTTCATTTCTCTTTCTCAACTTTCCCATCTACTCTCCACTTCTCTATTGACTGCAAATATTCAAGCTGCCAACTCTTTCAACCACATTATGTATTAAGGAGAGACTGTACCATGATGTGACCCCTGACAACCTTGAGTTAGCTAGATCCAGGCCACAGGAGATTGCTTCCCTTAAATCTCCTCACAGACTATCTGAGCCATCATTCACATATGCCCCAAAGCTTGCTGGCTCCTGGAACAGGCTGTCACCCTGCCCAGGGCAAATAGGCATTTCTCCCTACCTGGAGCAGATTATGCCCCAGTACACCTACCCATCCTGCTCTGTTCTATATAGTTCTTATCACCTGCCATGCCCCACTTCACTCCTAGGCAAGTTAGTTAAACGTTTTGAGCCTCCAGCTCATCTATGAAATGAATTTAATACTTACCAGAAAGGAGTTTGGAGAGGATTAAAGATGTTTGCACAGTCCTGTGGTGAGCAGTTAGACAGACATGAGCAGAGCAAGGACAATGGGCCAGGTACAGAAGATCACCAAGGCAGAAAGCCCTGATGGCCTAGCAATTGTAGGGTGGGACCTGGTCCTCAGAGTGACTTTTCCTCCCCTGGTATTACCCTGGTTATGCGGTTTGGACCCCCTGACTTTTCCTCCCTAGAGATAATATCTAGGCCTCAGTAGTATTTCAGTTCCAAGCCCAGAAAAGCAACACAACCAGACAAGCAATGCCAAGGCTGACCTCAGGACCAGCTGCACTGAATCAATGACCCACCTGCCCTGGCACCAACCAACCAATCAATGGAGACCCTGACCCTGAAAGGACACACCTAGAAAGCTGCTGAATATTCTATTGTGATCTTCACCTGGACCACCCTAAAATCTACACCCTTAAAGCCCTTAGGACAGGACCCAGGGAGCTCTCCCTTCTCTGGGGGCCGCCATCTTGAAAAGGCAAAGGCCAACCCTTCCCTTTGAATTAGCCAATTGAGAAAGACTGTGCACTTGAGCTCCAATCAAGAGTGAGGGACAAGTCACATGCATCATGGATTATAATGCCGAGAGGACCACCTGCTAGGTGTGTGTGTGCTCCCAGGCCATGTATGCGCACCCTTCTACATAGAAGATATTTGCCTTGCTGCCTGGCTCCTGAGTATGTTTTGTGTTCTACCAGAACCCCTAATTGGGGGGCTTGCCTTATTTCTTACACCTCCAGAATTTAGCAATTCTTACTTCTAATAATGGCAATACATTTCTTTTCATGAACTCAATAATGCTAGTTTCCAATTGTGGTTTTATTAACCAAAACTTTGACTAGAATGTCATGTCTAAGAGAAAGCAGAAACACACAATGAAGAAAAGAAAGTCTCTTTAATAAAATTTTTCTCTTGAAAAATTGGAAAGCCACATGCAAAAGAATGAAACTAGATTACAGTTTGTCCCCATGTATAAAAATTAATTCAGAAGGATCAAAGACCTAAATATAAGATCTGAAACAGTAAATTACATAGAAGAAAACATAGGTACTAAACTTATGGACGTAGAAAACATTTTATGAACTTGACCCCAAAGGGAAGGGGAGTAAAGGCAAAAATAAATGAATGGGAGTGTTTCAAACTAAAAAGCTTCTGCACAGTAAAAGAAACTGATAACTAAACAAAGAGGCAGCTGACAAAATGGGAGATATTTCCAAACAATAGCTTCAACAAACATTTACTATCCAAAATACATAAAGAACTCATAAACCTCAATACCAAACAACCCAATTAAAAAATGGGCAGAGGACCTGAATAGACACCTCTTCCAAGAAGACATACAAACAGCCAACAGATACTTGAAAAGATGTTCAACCTCACTAGCAATTAGGGAAATCCAGCAAAAATAGCTCAGTGATTGAGCACTCCACCTATGAACCAGGAGGTCTCTGTTCGATTCCCGGTCAGGGCACATGCCTGGGTGACTGGCTCCATCCACAGTAGGGTGTGTGCAGGAGGCATCCAATCAGTGATTCTCTCTCATCATTGATGTTTCTATCTCTCTCTCTCCCTCTCCCTTCCTCTCTTAAGTCAATAAAAATATACTGGGGGGGAAAAACCTACAATTAGATATAGCCTCACACGTGTTAGAATGGCTATTATCAACAAGACCAGCAATAACAAGTGTTGGAAAGATTGTGGAGAAAAGGGAACCCTCATTCACTGCTGATGAGAATGTACAATGGTACAGCCACTATGGAAAACAGTGACAAAATTGCCTGATTCCTCAAAAAATTAAGAATAGAGTTACCATATGACCCAGCAATCCCTCTCCTTGGTATGTATTCCCAAAACTCGAAAACGTATATTCACAAGATATGTGTGTGTGTGTGTGTGTGTGTGTGTGTGTGTGTTTTTCTTATGTTGGCCTGCTCTAGCCTCCTTGCCAAGATGCCCTTGCCAGCCACAGCCTCGATGCTGGAGACACTGTGGTGAACCTGTTCTGCTGCTCCCACCTCCCCTGGCCTCCACCTTAGGGGAGAAGTGCTTCGCTGTGTTCTTTGGCAGAGCACATGTAGGATGGGATGTAGAGTCAGAGGGGAGAATGACCCTGTCTCCAAATCTATATCTAAACTCTCTGTGAATTTAACTCCTCTTATTTTTCTCCCTAACCTCAGTCTCGATGAAGTGTGTCCCCTGAGGCTGAGCTGGGGAAAGGGAGAGGATGACATGTATTAGCCATGCCCTCTAGTGTCCTTTCTCCCTTATCTCTGTAGTCACTCAAGAATGCAGACTGGTGCAGCCACTGTGGAGAACAGTATGGAGTTTCCTCAAACAACTAAAAATGGAACTCCCATTTGACTGACCCAGTAATCCCACTTCTAAGAATATATCCCAAGAAACTAGAAACACCAATCAGAAAGGATATATGCACCCCTATGTTCATAGCAGCACAATTTACAATAGCTAAGATTTGGAAACAGCCTAAGTGCCCATCAGCGGATGCATGGATTAAAAAACTGTGGTACATCTACACAATGGAATACTAAGCTGCTGTAAAAAGGAAGGAACTCCTACCATTTGCAACAGCATGGATGAACCTGGAGAGCATTATGCTAAGCG